GATATAATAAAACCGTATGCTTGTTACTTCAAATCAAATCAATAAAATATAGAAATATGAAGCAAGTATACTTTTCTCCCCCAAAAGAATCACCTTTGTATTAATGTCATAATGAAATAAAATCGAACAAATCAAAATTTGAATTAAAGGAAAGTGTAGTAACTGACACCTGTTGCACAAAAAGGTGATGGCTTTCGTGGTCCAGGCGGTCTAGTGGATAACAAGAATTAGTGTTCGAAACGATGAGTAGTGAGTCTCAGCCTCTGTGAGAACAATATCACTCACTCACTCACTTGGTCAACTAACTAACTAACTAACTAACTAACTAACTAACTAACTAACTAACTAACTAACTAACTAACTAACTAACTAACTAACTAACTAACTAACTAACTAACTAACTAACTAACTAACTAACTAACTAACTAACTAACTAACTAACTAACTAACTAACTAACTAACTAACTAACTAACTAACTAACTAACTAACTAACTAACTAACTAACTAACTAACTAACTAACTAACTAACTAACTAACTAACTAACTAACTAACTAACTAACTAACTAACTAACTAACTTGAGGTTACTGGTAAATAAAGATGAATTGCGCATACTAAATCCCACTGCTACTCACCATCCATCAAACTACTTCAACAGTAAATATCGTTTGTAATGATTTCGCAATCCATAAGTTCGAATTGGCTGTCTGAGTTGAGTCAGTCAGGGAACACTACTGATAATCTTTGTACCGAATGGGTGAAACGACTGCCAACTATTTAGAGACCTTCTGCATGACTAGTAAGCACTACACTGTTTGACCTCAGTGGTTCCGAACTAGTCAACATCAGTCGGCGGTACATATCGCCAAGCTATCCCAGTTGCTATTTTCCCAACCATTTATAGTTGTATCAAGTAGATTACACAAGGTAGTTTTATTGTGGAGCAATGTTGGCTGGAAATTTGTGAAATTCGATAAACAACACCTCATTGATAAAAAGTCTTAGGTTTTGACGCTCTTGTGAATAGCGGAGGTGCTAGCGATTCGTTAACACAACTTCTGAAACCAGTGTGCAGGAGGGATCTGTGCAGTCATTTATTCTACCAGGATGTTACAATCCTCCCTACATTGTTTACAATGTTATCACGCTTACACGTCAGCCTCACTTATTACCCATAGGCGTTAGTGTTAGGTATTCACTATTCCAGTGGTTTAAATTGAAACAAGTCATATATAAGCGAGTGGTAGTGTATTTCTAAATATTTTATTCATCAAGCTTAGCTGTGCATTCTATGTTTTTAATTCGAAATTTTGACTTTCCCGCTGATTGAATGGCCTGGAATGTTCGACCTCTTTTGGCAGTGTTGGCTTGCAGTATAGAATCTTTGATGATGTCTGATGTTATTTGGTGACTAGCAGTGGAATCCAGGGTGTTCATTCCATTCACTATATGTACCATAAGATGGATGTAGCTGAAATCCCCAGTGAATGAGGGAAAATGTTCCCATCGGGATTCAAACCCAGTACTCTTCATTTTTAAAAGCCAAAGGGTTGCCCACTGAGCGACTTGGGCCTATGCAACCACCTTTTGCGCACAGTTGTGAGCTGTTACATATAGTTTTAATTCAAATTTGATTTGACTTTTAAAACAATGCGTACTGGGTTCGAATCGCAAAAGGAAGGAATACAGTCCCCCTCTTTTGGAATGCAGACATATCTAGTTGACGAGTTACAAATAAGACGAAATGCGCATCCTGGATTCCACTGCTAGCCACCATCCACCAATTGTATACTAACTAAATGCCCAGACATCGTCGAGGCATCTGCACAAGAAGCCGACATGTCAACCTGAGACCGAGCACTTCGGTCCAATCAATCGACGGGAAAATTAAGAATTCAATTCAATAATTAACAGAGGCATTTTCGAACACCTTCCTTCATGATTTGGAAAAGGTCAGTCAAAATCTATAAGAACCTCGATTTCGTGTCACTTGAAGTAGCGCTTTTTCATGACAATCTATCGTATTCCATAGAAACATTTCAAGCAGAATTCAAACTCATCTTCTTTTACACATAGCCAAAACTTTGTGAGTTTGATAGATTAACCCAGTAGTCTTTGAATTCAAACGAAATTTCAATCAACCTATGTCTCTTCACTGACTTAATTGGGAAAATTAAAAATACTTACTCTGTATTCAAGATTCAAGATTCAATTTATCTCTACACATCTGATCTTTGGTATTAATGTAACTTCTATTTTCTCAGGTTTTGAACTAATCATACTACTGAAATGCTTATATTATCATGCTAAATTGGATTGTTCTTATCTCTGCCTAAGTCAATCACCAATACGTTTCTTATCACTGACATCGTTATCCTTGTCATTACTGCTATATGTACAATATTTAACATTTAGGCTTTGATGCACAAATTCACCTTCATTGATTAAAAAAAGTTACTATATGCATATATCATATCTTTGTGTACCTATTGGAGCATAGATCTCTAGGCTTTGGGGTTTGAAGTGGTTCGGCAACTGTGGTGTGTTTTTGTGGGGTGGATTTGCTGGCCTCTCATGCAAAGTGTCGTCTTTTCGAGGCACACTATTGGCCCGTAAACAAGGCGAGATTTAGGAGCGCTCTGGCCGGGAGTGAAGTCAGGACCAACTGCTTGGTTCACAAGTATTTATCTCTAAACCATGAGAATATGTGTAAAGCTATTGCTTTGCAATTCGTAGTGTTCCCTAAGCTTATTGGTTGGTTTAGTTGCGCAGCTTTCGTTGTTCTCTCCCTGCCGGATAACATCCCCTTTCAGCGCATCTTTTTAGCATAAAGTGAACTGATTTAAATTTTTGCATGAGTGATAGAATTGCGTCTCCCGATAAACATCTTTACACATGCATTGATCATTTTCTATTGACTTGGATTTTAAACTTTCTCGTCACAAGATTTATTTCCTTAGTAGTTGGTATATTTGGTTTATATTATTAACGTGTTTGTTAATTGCATATTCGTTTAAGTACTAGGGTTCTAGGAATCCCCTGACAGCAGTTTTGGTGATTCCTCTGTCTAACATTTCGACATTATCCCAATCATCAAACTGATGTCCATAATTGTCTATATGCATTGATATGGAACAAGAATATATATATCATGTCTTTTCACAGGTGCTTTGTGTTCCTGGATGCAGATTCGAGGGGGGATGCCCACTTTAGCCGATGTAATGTCTGTTACAGTTCACACATGTAATTTGTTTCGTAAATGGTTTTAATTTTATCTTGTTTCTCTGTTGAATGGGTCTTTTGGTTTGCACAGTATCGAATTAAGTGGTTGAACTGGCTGGCTTGCATACTGGGTCTATTTAAAATGGTTTCAATATTCTAGCTGTTTGTTACTTCAGAGATATTGTTCATATGTGTGTTGGGATGAATTTTCTTATGTTCCTTGATGACGGTTTCCTGTTGGCTGTGATTCGGTTTTTTAACACTTTTTCATGAAATTTTAGGGATATCCATTCTTTTTGAAGATGGTCGTCAGTAGGTATTTTTCCTTCATTCTCTTCAACACCAGCGTAGTGCCGCAGTGTGGTTGAACTATCCAAAACAATGTCTGAACACAGTTTCTTTTGTGATTAATTGGGTTATTGCTACTATAGTTGTGAGTGTGTGTGTGTGTGTGCTTCCTACAGTCTCACATATATTGTACATTTATTTTATGGAGGGTAAGCAGTGTAACTCCCAATTCCTAAACACTGACAGCTGATTGGTGAGCGATTGCCTAAATGTGAAAATCAATAAATTATTACTATGACCAATGTGATTAGGCAATTCAAATTGATTACTTTTTTTCTCATAAGTGATTTGTGATGGCGATTCAGTGGCCAATGTGTGTGTGTATGTGTGTGTGGGGGCGTAAAGATGGTCACTGGGAGACGCAATTCTATCATGCATGGAAAATTTAAATCAGCTCACTTTATGCTAAAAGATGCGCTAAAAGGGATGTTACCCAGCAGAAGGGGCGGGGGGACGACGGAAACTCCGCAACTAAACCAACTAACCAGCTCAGAGAACACTGCTAATTTCAAATCATTCACCTGAGCTACAAATCTCCTCTATCATTTCAAGGCTATGGCTTAGTGGATGGTGACTAGCAATGGAATTTAGGGTGAGCGTCTCACCCTTTTTCGGAACTCGTTATTTGGACGTGTCTCCAAACCCTGTTAGGCGACATTGTCTCCGTTGGGACTTGAACCTAGCACCTATCGTCTCAAACTCCTGAATTTTATCCACCAGACTAATTGGGCCGAAAAAGCCACCTCTTGCAGTCTATTTATTAACGCTTTGGCCATATGAAACAATGTGTCCTGGGTTCAAGTTGCCACGAGATCAACAGGACTCCCTGGGGAGGGAGAAATGCAGTTACAACCAGTTGACAAGTCCTATATACAGGATGAAAAGTGCATCTTAAATTTCATTGATAATCACAATTCAGACGTTATCAAAACGGCCACACTCACTTGGCGCCAACATTTATTCAGAGATGGAATAATTCACTCCATTATCATCCGTCGAAATGGAATACGAAATGTGTAGACCTTCATACACTAAATTCAAGTCTGAGGAAGACCTTATAGAAAACGCGATTTATGTGTTAGTTAACAAGAAAAGCATCACTTTAGCTTTTCTCGCTGTCTCTGCGTGTGTTTTTTCCTATGAAATTAATATGCTACTTATAGACAAATCAAAAGCAAATCAAATGCTGAATAAAGTAAATATAGAATGATTAGCGGGCAACTGAAATTACTTCAGCTTTGTGAACAGTGATCATATGGAATCGTTAGTTAGTTAGTTATTTAATTAATTAAATAATTAGTTAGCTATTTGCGGCACTGTCTGCCTGTGAGCGAGTGAGTATACAGGGTCGAGTTAAGCAGCTGTTTTTAATTTTTGTTTTTATGTAAGCCAGCAAATGAATGCGATGAGCCCCACTCACGACTATTTACCTAATTCATTATGATCCATTGATATACGATGATGTTGATTCGGTGAATGTTGTCGATTCTGTTGCTTTTGTGTAATTTCCTGTATATTCTGTGTTAACGTTTGTCTTGCATATGAATTTGTATTCACCTTTGGTAGATTTAAACCTCCAGTAGAATTTTTCTGTGAATTATTTGAATTTGAATTCCATTTATTAATTAAATGTGTGATATTGTTAGTGTGTGGAGGTGGAAGAGGCACAGGTGGATGTTGATGTTGTAGGCCACGATTCATACTTGACACATGTGTTGTTGTTTGACTAGCACAGATGAAATCAACATATCGTCTACTAGTCGGTGGACTTATCAATGCCTGGGTAACTGTTGAACTATACGGTAAATCAATAGTACTACGTTTTAGACGTATAGGACTACTATAATATTCTTTATAGCTAGACTGTTTTGTTCTTTCCGCGCTGACTGGATGAATTCTTGCTGCAGATGAATGTGGTCTGCTTATAGGCACTATGTAGGATGATGATCGACCTAGAAAAAAATGTGGAGGGTGTAACAGTTGATAAGACTCACACACACACATACATACATACACAGGCAAACAGAAAGATTTCGTGATGACAACAACAACAACGTCTTCATTCAAGTGTTGGTTTGTAGGAATTCGATTGATTGGTTACGGGATTTCATCATGAACCCAGATTGGTTGCAGAACCAACCAGTGAAAAAACCAGCCACAGGGAGTACTGGACAGCTGTTTCCACTGTCCTAGTTTGCGAGTCTTCATCAGTGTGCACCCACTGGGTATAAGGGAATTATACTCACCGAAGACATATTGACTAGCGGTGCGCTATTTCGTCATTTGGCAGAAGTTAGAATTCATGGACTGGCTGGCCACTGGATCAAGTCCCAGTGGCTCAATGGTCTACTAGGTTGCTGACCGTGTGACCAGAAGGTTGTGGGTTTGAACCCCTATGGTGGGTGCGTGCTGCTGAAGAGTTCCAAACCAGGCTAACGAAACAGCTGTTCAGTACTCCCTGTGGCCGGGGTTTCCAATGGTTCCCTAACGAATGTCAGTTCATGATGAAATCCTGTAACCAATTATTGTCGGATTATTTTCCGTTTGAAAGCAGACTTCACCACGTACCTACGTCAGTCAGAGAAATCTTTAAAACAAGAGAACAATGGACATCCCTTTGAAACACCAAGGATCGAATCTTGATCATTTCTATGCACCCACTAAGTCCTACTCGATGGATCGATGGATTCTAACTTCTGTCATGTAGCAGCATAGTTCTATCACCTTTCACATCTCATTGGTGAGTATTCATTCTGAAACCCTGAATGGATAGAGCCTATCGATCTAACTCAGATGCGTGAAGCTGAATAGCCTCAAATAAGGACGATGCAACTGTCTATTGTTCCCTTGATTTTCAGTGACAATTAATCTAATACTCACCACTGACTGGCTCTATGCGTGAAGTTTATTGAATTTTCAATGAGAAGTTGTAATACGTGGTGGGTACAAAAAGTTAGGGAAGAGAATAGAGAACAGAACGCGCCAATGACACTAGTTGGTGGTCGGTTGCACCAAAATATCGCTAACTGACAGAAGTCAGGATTCATAACTTCGCTCAATACAACTCAAGATCAGATGTCCTGCCAGAAAAGATCAGCAACAGTGATCTCCGGCAATGAACGAACAAACCAACCAGTAACTGATTGTACAAGAAATATGCAGGAAGAAATGGAGGTAGATTGGCTATACTCTGAGAAAACAAACCATCAAGTGATATCACAAGACAGGCCATCGCTCAAGTGGAACCCCAACGGAAAGCAGAGAGCCAGCTGATCGTCAATGCAAGGGTCAGCTGACATGGAGGAGTTCATGTGAAGAGGAGATAAAAGCACATGGTCAGATGTGGAGGCCAGTGAAAACATTGGCAGAGAGCCGAACCCAATGGAGACGCTTGACGGAAGCCCCGTGTTCCACTAGGAACTAAAGATAACAATGATGAGAATAAAAATCCATAGTCTATTGGGTCAGGTCTCAGCGTTTGAATGGTCTGAAAGTTAGCCTTGTAACCTCAAGTTGATGGGTTTAATCCCCAGTAGGTGAGTACTATTTAAAGAGTCGCAAATTAGGAGAGAATAGCTGTCCAGTTCCCTCCCACCGCTTTTTCAGTGGTCCTGTAACTGATGCATTTAACCACTAGGTAAGCCCTGAAAGACAAGATGAAATGAACATGAAGATAAAAAAAACTTCAACTGAATTATACATTAAACACTACAAAAGGTAGAAGCAAAGATTTATAATTTAAAGCTAACCCGTTGGAGTATTAGCTCGAACTGATCGTGCTATTGAACCAGCTGGTGGTTCAAGATCATGTACACCTCGACCAATCGGTTGTAGTGTTATTGTCTCCATTTCCTCCAGGACAGCACGACTACCAACTGATCGGCTATCATGCAGTTGTCTATTAGATGTCTGCTAAGAGGAATTGAAAGAAAGAAAGAAAGCAGAGAAAAGCGAAGAATTTCATAATTAACCGGAATTTTTTATTGTTAAGTAAAACAAACGCACACACACAAGTGGATGACTATAGAATAAAGTGCTTTACAGAGTATTTAGACGATGAAGCTTCACTAGATTAGCTGTCACTGCGCCCTGCAACAAATGAATATCCTCTGAGGAGGGATAACGGCTAAATTTGCTTTTATCATCAAGAATAGACATCATTTTAGATTTGTAACCACTTTTATTCATAATAACGACTCCAGAACGCATATCAGGTTTCGTAATAATTACATTAGAGTTATTCCGTAGCTCTTTCAAGGCTTTGAAATGCTGTATTAACCAATTTAGATGTACGTGTGGACACAGATAGACATGGGGAGGACTCATCGATCTCTGCAAGTCAGGGCTGGCCTCAAAAGCATATTCCTAAAAGGTTCCAGAAACAAATAGAATCTTCAGAACCCATTATTGGTGAGAACGGGAGACCTAGCTCCTCTATTGCGAAACATATTGTAGAGACAGGACATTAAACTAATGTTTACACATCTTTTATACTTATCTATAAAACGTATTTGGGGGAGGGTGTATCCTGAGGTTTGTGGGAGCCCTAGATATCAATTAGGAAGGTTAAACCATCTTTATGCGTTCGAAGCAACAATTCGTCATCACACTTAACCACCTTCTTTGGTAAACTTTGTTTTGATACCAAATAGGATAGGTGTACTATTGTAACAACAGAAGACAAGGGCCAGGCAACAGATCGTTTTATTATGAAAATCAACATGTATTTATATATATTTCACATACATTATTATAGCTTATGCAAGTAGACAAGCGCAGTCATCTGATTGGTTGTTTATCAGAAGTTAGGCAGACAAACGCAGGCTTCTGATTGGTTGTTTCGGGATTCCTCGACAAATAGAGTTCTCTATCTGCGAATCATATTTTGCCACGTTAACTTTGCTGTGATTGGTTGTTGAATCAGCCTTGCTCATATTTTCTCACGGCCTGCTCTCACCACACTATTACCTCTGTTATTTGGTTTAGTGGTCTTCATTGTTATTTTGAATTTCAATATTTCCTTCTAACTTGACGTAAGTAGTTTATTTTTCCTCCTCTTAACTCTTTATTATGTTTCGTATATATATACTGTCCTGTGACAAGTCCATGTGTGATGGATCAGATTGTTCGAAATGTGTTGCTCGCGCAAATACAACATTACACACGATTCAAACAAATTACGTCATCCTTTTTAGTGCTTTGTCAAACTTCAAGTTAATTGAAAAAAAACAATATTAATGAATCCTATAAAATTACCCAGTCTTCTGCTGTTCTCCTTTGTTCTTGCATCCGGCGTAGATTTTCTTTGTGTGCAGAATATGTTGAATACATTGGCGGTTGTTTACACATTGAACTATTTCGTAAATTAGTCTCTGAATTGTATAAGAAAAGTAAAATAATAAAAATAAGTTTCCAAGGCTCAATATTGTTTGTTGTGGATATTTTATTTTTGATAACAGTTTGATCCCACACGGTATTTTTGGTACTAGTATGGAATTTTCAGCATGTGATATTGGTAGCCAAAATTTTGCAGGCCGGCTATTGATATCGAGTGTGCGTCGGCAGAGGATTGAACGCCGGACCATGTGCATGGTCGGTGAGAGTCATTACCACTGTGCCACCGACGCAGCTACCATGCAAACAAACACGCATGGCGGCTTACAAAAAAACCTGTGAGGAGGAATTATTGAGGAAAATATTTCTCGTTGAGATTGATTTTCATTTAACATCGCAGTCACAATAATAGAGACTTTTTTGACCTCGAAAAGGTATAATTTTCGGAGCTGTACTTCGATCTATGAGGAGTTTGACGAGAAACATGACAATGCTTGATCGGTAAAGTCGGTCAGAGTGCACTGCTGGACAGTACGTACGCATATATTTTGATAGATGACGAGATATCGCGTCAATGCCATAATTGACGCTCTTAAATAGCCGCATAAGTTTGAGTAAAGTGGCTTGATTAATGTATTTTACTTCGACGGCAGTGTCCTCATAGCCAGAACATCGCCATTTGTTGGTTATTATAGGTCAAATGCTGCCTTCAAATGAAGAAATACAGGAAGTTTCAGAAGAAGATTAGTGTACCTATTCGCGAGTACCGGTCGAGGAATGAAGACAAGGTCAATATATCCTCATTCAGGCTTCAGGCCTATCATAATACTTCATTGTCGTTGATTTAGATCCCTAACGATTATCACTAATTATCCATTAATATTTTTATATTGCTGTTTGACCATGATGGCGACATATCAAAGGATGGATAGTATACCTAAGATACAAAATAAATTTTCGATTGGAGACTAGTCAGTAACTAGTGTAATGTGTCTAGTCCTATCATCGTTTCTAACTGAATTCTATCAGTCACGCTTCAAAAATGCAGCATGTCATGATATTCCCTAGTCGTGTGATTTCAACTGTTCAGTTCAAGTTGCAATCTTGTAAATGTCATAGACTTGTCTGACAATTACCATGATGTTATTTAGTGGATGACGACCTGTAATGGATCTCAAGATGCAAGCCTTGTCCTACTTGGGACTCGTCATCTGGATGTGTCCAACACTCTCAAAGGGTGATCGTTTCAAATACCAAAAGTGTTATCCATATAAAGCTGACCTAGTGACCCAGTAGATGACCCTAAGCGTTTGAAGCGATGAGTATCAGATTTCAAGACTCAGCTGAATCATCATCTTTTACGCGAGAATACAAGTGCAGTCAACCGATGAGTCCGAGAGGGAATGAAAAGCACATTTTCAGATCTAACTACTGATCATTTTTCTCTAAATGACGCAATGATACTACAATGAAAATGTTCTTTGTGTGTGTGTGACAGAGAGATTTAGATCACTCAAAATTATCAAGAGGGCATTTATCGATTTTGATTTAGGTCATCAAAAGTCACTAGCCATAGATTTGTAACATTTTGAGAATGTTGGCTAGGTAAACTGATTATCATAGTGACTGGTCTGTCTCCAACGTTATCTGGTGGGCGTAGTAATTAAAATGTTGAACAAGAAGAACGTTACAATGGAAATGAAAACAAAACACGTAGATCAGCGAAGAGTCTCTTTTCGGCGAATTCATTTTCTTAGCTGTACAATCGCAAATATATATGCGTTGTTTGTATGTATGTGTACATTAAGTTTGTCAAACAAAATTACAATTGGTTAAGGTTACTTTTAACTAAACAGGTGAAGGTTGGTAATACAAGTCAAGAAAATTAAGTGTTAATGAAAATGGGGTAGTAACAAAGGTGATGAGTTGTCACAAACAGTTGTAATAATATTAGTGAGTTTTACTCAGGATGCACATAGAAACAAAGTAGATAATACGAAACTATGTAAGAGATTTAAGTGAATACAAGAATTATAAGCAATTAAGGAACAGGCAAAGAAACAAAATTAAGTCATCAAAATAAAATAAAAACTCAAAACAAATCAAAACATTGTTACCATGAGAGTAGAAGTGGTTGAGTAATCTTCTTTTGTATGCACAGCTCCGGTTTTTCCATGTGAATGGCCAGAGCTTCAGCGATGCAAAGGAGACGAAACCGTATTGCCTTTGATATGTTATTCTTGACTCTGTAGATTACTTTGAAGGAGGCGTTCGTTGAAATGCAATGATCAGTGTTGACCAGGTGTTCAATTATCGCACTCCTTATTGCACCAGTATTGCCTTTTCGCAACCATGCTGGATAATGTTCTTGAATTCTCTTGGACAGGATGCGCGTCGAACGACCGATGTACCTGGCTCCACAGCAGCAGGTGAACTGGTATATGCACATAGAAGTGGCCAGATGCGGGATCTTGTCCTTGAGGCTTCTGCAGATCAGTGGGCGACTGGAGAACACTATTCGTAGCGTTGCTGCAAAGAACGTTCTTCTCAGAGATGATGTGATCCTTCTCTTGAGAATATCGCTTGCTAAATCTCCCTTGAAATCCAAATTCATGTAGATTTTCTTTTTAGGCACAGTTAAAGTTTCGTTTTTCCGAATTATTGGTTTCATATTTTTGTCGATAAATCTTATTGGGTATCCATTTTGGATGAATATTTCTCTCAGAATATCTAATTCTGTTTCCAGAACGTCGGGACTACAGATGCGTCGGATGCGGGTAGCAAGTGATTTAATTAAGTTTCGCTTTTGTTGAATGGGCACCCAGCTATAGAAGCTTGTTAGTTGACCATTCCACGTAGGTTTTCTATGGATTGATCTTCTTAGGCTCCCATCAGCTCTTCTTGTCAGTTCCACATCAAGAAACGGAATTTTTGACTCGTTTTCCATTTCAAGAGTGAATTTTATTGCTGGATGGCAATTGTTAAATGTCTTCAGCAGCAGATTGGGGTCGTTGTTGTTGTCACAAATAATGAAAATGTCATCCACGTATCTTTTATACAGTCGCAAATTGTCGATGCTTGGCTTTAGTGAACCTCTCTCGAGGCTTGCCACGAAGCAATCTGATAGTAGTGGACCCAACGGAGATCCCATTGCAATACCATCCTTTTGTCTGTAGATGGTGTCGTTGAATGTGAACTGGACGTTCAGAGTGCATCTCAATAATAGTTCTTTCAAGTATGTTGTCGGTATTCCAATATCGAGGTGGTTGTCATCTATATATCTGCATATGAAGCAGACCGTTTAGTGAAAAGTGACTCGATGTCGAAGGACAGCATAATTTTGTTAGATACATTCGTGTCTTGTATGCACTCGATGAACTGGAAGGTGTCACGGAGCGAGTACGTACATAATTGCTTCCTTACAGGTTCCAGAATATCTGCTAGCCATTGTGCAATAGAGTGGTAAGGGGAACCTGACATATCCAGAATTGGACGAAGTGGGAGACCAACCTTGTGTACCTTTGGTAGACCATAAAGTCTTGGTATTATTGAACCTGTTGGCCGGATCTGATCGTAGATATCCCCACTGATTAGTTGACTGGCCTTCATTCTCTTCAAGACATCTGTGAGCTGCTTCTCAATCTGTTCCGTCTTGTTTCTTTCATTGGAAGGTTGGGAAAATTTGTCTTCATTCGACAGTATATCGTTCATTTTCTCGATGTAGTCTCTTCGATTCAGAAGCACTACACCCGCACCCTTGTCGGGTCGAGTTATAAGTAGATCTTTGTTATCTCTCAACTGTTTTAATTCCTCTCGGTGCCGCTTCGTTAGGTGGTTGCGGACTTTTGATTTTGAATTCAAGTATTGGTGGCAGCAGTCCATGATTGTTGACTTGAATCTCTGTAATTCGTCTTCAGAAGTTGGGCTGAGATCGTGCGTTTGGCTGATTAGATTTTCAAACTGGACCTGAGTATGGAGTTTGTCGGAGTTGAAATTTATATCGCAGAATTTAGGGCCCAGAGATAGGACTTCCAGTTGCACGTCGGTTAAATGTACTGAGGAATAATTGAACACAAACTTCGTGGGTTCGTCAGGAAATTTGCCTTGAGGTTTCATCTGCTTAAGGCTGTTGTTGAGCTGGGTTACGACAGACTGCGACCGTTTATTCGCAACCAAGTCGATATATTCGGTGAATCTTTGACGTTCATCCGAAGTCAATTCGTATAAGGCAGAGGACCTCTGATTGATATTCCGCTGCAGTTCGGGCATACGTGATCTGATAGAATCAGCACAATTCATTGCATGGCGTTGAAGGGACTTCGTATTTGGATATATATGATTGCGTCGCAGTGCTTTCCAGAACCACTTTGGATACTGATGATTGGAGACGCAATCCTCGAAAAAGCCAACTTTCGCTTTCCCCACAGCAAGCTTGACAGAGTACCGCAGAAACCCATTGAGTTCCTTGACTGTCGAGGGGTCCTTGCTACGTTTCAATTCATGGATAATCCCCATCCAGGCATTAATGAAAACAAAACACGTAGATCAGCGAAGAGTCTCTTTTTGGCGAATTGTTTGTGACAACTCATCACCTTTGTTACTACCCTACCACTTAATTGTCTTGACTTTTATTACCAACCTTTACCTGTTTAGTTAAAATAACCTTAAGCAATTATACTTCTTGTATTTACTTAGTTTTCTTACATAATTTCGTATTATCCACTTTGTTTCTATGTGCATCCTGAGTAAAACTCACTAATATTATTACAACTGTTTGTGACAACTCATCACCATAACATAACTCATTAAGGACTTAATAGCTTTATTAAATGCAGGCTTAATTGAATGAATCTCAGTTTTACAATGTTATTTATAAAAAAAATACTTGTGGTTCAGCGAAGAGTCTCTTTTCATTGGCGAATTCATTCACACTTAGTTGTACAATTGTCATTACATATACTTATTTGTGTATGTGTGTGTGCGTTAGGTTTTTCCGATAAGGATAAAATTAGATCAGGGTTATTTTGCGTAGGTGGCACAGTGGTTAGGACTCTCGCCGACCATACACAAGGTATGGGGTTCGAGCCCACGTCAACGCACACCTGATATCTATGGTGGGCCTGCGAAATTCGGGCTGCCGATATCCATACTTGTACCAAAAATACGGTGTGGAATCAAGCTGTAGTGAAAAAATAAAATAAATTAAAAAAAATCAAGACAAATTCAAAACTGTGATCAATAATCAAATTTTAACTAGGGTGGGGGCAATTCTGTGATCACTTCTATTTGCATATATCAGTTCACTTGGTGCTGTGGAGCCAGCTAGGTTCATTGGTTGCTCGACGCGTATCATGTCCGAAAGGGTTCACAAACACTATAACGCATGGCTATGAAAAGTTGACAGTACGAAAATCGAACATCATGTCGAACAACACTGGCCATTCTATCTCAACAAACGCCTCCTCCTGCTTCAAAGTGATCTACAAAGTGACCTACCAAAGGCAGTGCACTTACGTCTCCTTGTATTGCTGATGCCTTGGTCATTCATTTGGAGAAACCAGAGTTATGTATACAAAAGAAAATCACCCAACCACTTCTACTATTGTGGTGCCAACAACCGTGTTGACTTCTACTGACGTGATGTTTGTTTGTGTGTGATTGGTGTTTCTGTTTTTCTAACTCCTTATAACATTTGTAACTTTTAGACCTCTTGCATAATTCCATGTTTTCCTTTGTTTCTATGCGAATCCTAATCAAAACTCACTCATTATACAATTTACTCATCTTATTACGTAACTGTGTTACGCTAATTCAACTTCTTTAATGTCTTGATTAACATTAACTATGTGTTTTTCTTTTGACAACCCAGCATCACTACCCTCTTACCATAGGAGACGAAAGTTTATTGTCTTTGGTAGGTTGTTCTTCACTTTGTAGATCATTCTGAAGCAGGAGGAGGCGTATGTCGATTTGGAATAACCAGTGCTGCTTGACTAGATGTCAGTTATTCTACTCCTTATACAGCCACTGTTACCCTTTTATAACCATGCGTGATAGTGTTCTCGAACGCTTTCGGACATGATACGCATCGAACGACCAATGTACCTGGCTGGCTCCACAGTAACAGGTGAACTGATATATGCACATAAACCTGGTCAAAGAATTGCCCCCAGCCTAGTTACAATTTGATTATTTATCACAGTTTTGAAATGTCTTGATAACAATAACCCTGATCTAATTTTATTCTTATCGGACAAACCTAACGCCCACACACACATAAACAAATTACTTTAAGTAATGGCAACTGTACAGCTAAGTGTGAATGAATTCCTTACAGGATTTCATGATGAGTTGACATCGGTTAGAGGACTATTGGAAAAGCCACGAGGAGTACTGGACAGCTGTTTTGTTGGCCTAGTTTGGGACTTTTACGCAGTACGCACCCACCGACACGGTTCAAACCCACGACCTTCTGGTTACAAGGCAAGCGAGCTCGTAGACCATTCATCAGCCACTGGAACCCGATCCAGTGATCAACACATTAATTCTGCCGATTCAGGACATAGCGCGACCCCAGCCAATGTCATTAGTGGCGAGTATTTGTCCTCAAACCCGACCTGCTGCACCCAACTGGTCACGACTTGCCACTAGAACCCCAGGTAACTACCTACCTGAATAGGGCCAGCCGCCAGTGAGCATTTCATTGATATGTAAATATTGGTTTTTAGGGATTTGATTGATTGGTTACAGGATTTCGTGGATGAATTCGTCGTCGAAAAGAGACTCTTCGTTGAACTACGCGTGTTTTGTTTTCATCAATATCTGATCGGGGATTATTCATGAGTTCTATTTATATCCATAAACTTCGCCGATGATATATGTCTGATTCCCACAAACCGGAAGATATGCAAGTGAAAAGCGACAAGTTGGCAGAAGAAGCATCAAAGATAGGACTTCAAGTGAACATAGATAAAACAGAGGTGATGAAGATTCCTGGCCAACACCAACAGCAGCAACAACAAAAGACAACAATCAGCATAAATGGGAGGAACCTGAAAGAAACAACCTCCTTTACCTACCTGGGAAGTATCGTTTTAACTACAGGCGGAACTGACGAGGATAACAAAGCCAGAATCGGAAAAGCAAGGCAGGCTTCCATTACTCTTAAGTCTGTGTGGAAGTCAACAGCACTCAGCATCAAAAATAAGATCCGGATTTTCAACTCCAATGTGAAGTCACTGCTACTATACGGACCAGAGACTTGGCGAGTCATAAGGAGCATCTCAAACAAACTACAGACCTTCATCAACAGTTGTCTTCGCTCAATACTCAAGATCAGATGACCAGAAAGATCAGCCACAAAGATCTCTGGAAGTGAACCAACCAGGAACCGATTGTGAAACAAATAGGCAGGAAGAAATGTAGATGGATTGGCCGCACCCTGAGGAAACCATCAAGTGACATCACTAGACAAGCCCTCGAGTGGAACCTGAAAGGGAAACGGCGAGTTGGTCGTCCAAGGGTGACTTGAGGTGGTCATGCGAGGAGGAGATGAAAGCATATGGGCAGACTTGGAGCGGAGTAAAAAGTTGTCAGAAAACCGAAGGCAATGGAGGTGCGCAGCTGAAGCCCTATGTTCCTCTAGGAACTAAAGGATATAATAATAATAATGCACGATTTGAAATTATTTGTGAACGGTGCACAGTTTAGAGTGGAACTTCATCACGGCCACCCCTGGATACCTGGATTGTTTAAATCTTAATATGTGACCCAGGTGACAGATCCATACCTCTGGTTGATTTGATGATTAGCTAAATACTACTCGCCTTATTTAACGGTCCTCTAAGCGACTTATAATAACAGCCGACCATTGCGATTGCCCATGAATGTTTTTCTTTACGGGTGTATCAGCAGTGATTCATTTCTGAAAGCCGTCGTAAATTAAGCCCTGGGACACTACTGATAGGTCAGGCGTTAAACAAGCACACTGACATTCTAGTATTTAGATTATTGTAATCTGGCTGGCGAAAACTATTGATTGATGAGAATTGACCTTCAGCTTATCAGATCAATCAATCAATCAATCAATCGATCAGTGGTATATATCCTGTTGTATAAACTTGAAAATTGATATTAGGTAGTTGGAGGCAATCGACCACAGGAAGCCTTTGGCCTAGGTTTTGTACTAGTTGGCGCTCATCAGCAAGGCGTATCTACAACCCTGAAGAAACAGCTCATGTCCCTTATGAGATTCAAACCCGCGTCAGCCAGTGCTGCAGTCAAAGGCGTTACCATTGAGCTATTCGGGCTCGCGATTGACTTCCTGTAGGACTGTAGCGGGTATTTTGATTGGACACTAGTAAATACTGTGACGTGTCTAGTACTTTCTTCGGTGCAGACTGAATTCTATCAGTCAAGCTTGCAATGTGGCCACCATTCGAGGTAGCTCGCCATCACGGTGCACACTGATTTAATAATATTACGTGGTAACGTCTCTGACTAAGGGCAGCACTGGGTGACGCTGGTTCGAATCTCAGAAGGGACATGAGTTCCTCCAAGGCAGTCATAGATACACCTTGCTGACTAGTGAGTGCCAACTAGCACGAAACCCAGTTCTGAGGCTCCCTGTCGATTGCCTCCAACCATCTGATATCATCAAATCAATGTGCACCATGACGGTGAGCTACCTAGAATGGTGGCCACATTGCAAACTTGACTGACTGATAGAATTCAGTCTGTACCAAGTGAAGGACTGGACACATCACACTAGTCATTAGTGTCCAATCAAAATAAACTTGAAAACTGTTGATTCCTTGTTTTATTTTCATACTCATACTTATAAATCTTGATGGTATGGTGTTCTCATACTTAGAATCACACCTATTAACTGCTGTTTTATACGCTAGTTCATTAAGTGCTGGAGCATCGATGTATTATGTTTGCTTTTAATTCAAAGGGTGTTCCCGTGCAGCACTTTGATGTTCTAGACATCATAGACAGGCCAAAATACAAATATCGGTTTTACGTGTTCACCGGATCAACTGTCAACTAAGCAAGGTTTACGTGTATATCAGCTGGAATGCATTCTACCACTGCACCACGGTTGCCCAAGGCGATATCTGATAGGCCATATGGGTCACATTAATAACAAAATAACATGAATGTGGCATTCACAGGCAACCGTCTAGCCGACATCCTGAAGAGAAGAATAATTAACACCCTGAAAACAACATTCTCTGCAGCTACATTACGACTGAATCAATTAAATCCCTACAAAGCAATCCTAAAATATCATTAAAATTCTCACTAAAGACTGACCATATTCAGGCAGGGGTTCTAGTTGAAAGTCGTATCCAGTAGGGTATAGCAGGTCAAGGTGACGTGCTTTATCGGGAATTAGAAGAAGTTGGAATTCATGTGATGGCCCTTGATTCGGGTTCAAATGCCTGAATCGTTTACGAGCTCGCTAGCCTTGTCACCAGAAGGTCGTGGGTTCGAACCCTGGCGTACCGCTGAAGAGTCACAAACTAGTCTGACAAGACAGCTATACAGTACTCTCTGCTGGCTTTCAAATGGTTCTCTAACGAATGTCAGTTCATGATGAAATCTTGTGACCAGAATAACTTTTATTCATTCATTTATGTATCATTGTTATTACGTAATAAATTTTCTAAATATTCACACTCACCTGATAACCAGGCTGTCTTAGTGACGGATGCAGGTCCACTGATGTTTGTTTGACTTGCAGTCCTATGTGGTTGAACTTGTACACAAAATACAAAGAAGGAAATAAATAAATAGAAGAAAATGATATCAGTCATATTTACTTAATGAAAAAGAGGAGTAAAACGTTTATCGACTTATGGCGATTGCATAATGATGCCAAATAATTTTGTATGTTCAATTCCCCACAGAAATGAATCTTGGTCTATTGAGATCAGTATTTAAATAGTGTGTGTGCGTACGTGCATATATGTGTTTAGTTAACGAAAAATCTTGAACTGAGATCCTTGTAACCTGATTTTCAGGCACATTTCTGCTAATCCACAACATTTGTATCCCAAGGAGTTGTTCACAAGTCTCACGTCTGCTCTCTCTCTCTATGTCTTCTGGTAAGTCGTATAACATGGTCAATAATGATTAGGTTGGGTAGAGAATGTTAGATAAGGGGGGGGGGTAGATCATTTGATGAGGTTGTTAAGCTACGTCAATTAAGATGGTTGAGATACATGTTGTGTATGCTTAGCCATCGCCGTCTTCAATCAGTCAGTCAGGCAGCCTCTTTCAGGTAGTTTTAGCTGGCTTGAAGAACTTTTAACACAGGTCATAACCTATTTTGCCTACAAACTATAATCTCATTGACAAGCTAGAAGACGAGATCGATTACCTCATGTTAGAGTTAATCAGATGTTCATCGGCAGCATAAATTGGCGATTGGTGCTTAATCCGTAATGGACACAAATAAGAATGCTCTACTTATTAAATTTTAACCTAGTGACTGTATAGTGAATGAGCTGGTCTTGTTATCTGAAAATTTTTGGCTTCAATTCCTGGTGAAGAGTCCCAGTCTAGGACGATGGGAAGTTTCTAGTGCAGTTTTTCTTGAAATAAAAGTAACATTTAATAAATTATGCCTTTCTTCCTTACCTAGTTTATTGTTCAGGTTGTACACAGCTGATGGAAACCGATATGAAATAAAAAAATGAGTTCGTCTTAAAGAAATTTATCGCTAAAAAGAAAAATGGGGAAATGAATTGCCGCCGACAGACTTAGTCATAATTGACTGCACCACTGGGAGATTTCCTTCCTTACACGGTGGGATTCCCCCCTTGGTAGTTTTAAACCAAAGCGTATTCTCTATAGTTGGTTTTTGTAAGGGTAAGTTTTGTTTTTACGAGTAGATCACGGATTGATATCAGTTTGAGGATCATTGAAAACCAGGGAGTGCTGGACCGCCAGCTGTTTCGTCAGCCTAGTTTGGGAATCATCGGTAATACGCATCCACTCCCAGGGTTCGGACCCAGGACCTTCCGGTTACTAGGCTAACGAGCTCGTATCCCATTCATTTTCAATGGCCCTCTAACTGATATCAACCCGTGTTCAACTCGTAAAAACAAAACTTACCCTCACAAAAAACACCAACTATAGAAGGTTAATCTGATGCTCACTAGTGAGTTTATAAAGGACAGATGGAGTTTCCTGGAGTTGGTTCTAGTGAGAAGTCGTGACCAGTGAGGTGCATCCAGATGTCAAGTGTGAAATTGGATGTCCCACCGACTACATTGGCTTGTGCTAGTCGCGCTAAATCACGAATTGGTAGAAGTTAGAATTCATGGACTGGCCATTGAGGAGTTGGGTCCCAGTGGCTAAACATTATATTAGCTCACTGATCTTGTAACAGGAAGGTACTAGGTTCGAATCCTGGCGGTGAGTGCGTAGTGTCGATGATTTTATGAGATGAGTTAATCTAAGCACACCAGTGATGAATTCATTTCCATATAAGTTAAGCAACCGTCTAGTGTTGAGGTCATTTCAATTTGGTTGGCAAGTAGTACTGGTTGGTTGGATGGTCAGTTGTTCCTGCCTACTTAATCTTAGTCAGTAGCATACAGCAAACTGGTATTTTTCTACACGAGTTCAAATAGGGATCCTTTTTCATTTATTGATATTCACTAGTGTAAATAAACTTAGCTGGATGGGATAATAACCAATTCGGTTTCACTTGTATTTCACATATAATGGATTCCGGTTTGCTGTCACTAAGCCAATAATTGCTTTTTGAAAGATATCACCAACCTCCAGAAGTCTTATGGGTGACGTGATTCTAACTTGAAATCAAAAGTCTAAATGTGTGTTCTGAGATGAGATTGCATGTGGAGGTGATGACCACCTTAAAAGCAATCGTAGAGATAGCTAATTAAGCACTATGCTAAAAAGAGTAGGAATGGAGATGTAAGAATTACAGATTCTGAGTTTAATTTCTATTACTCCATTGTGGATAAGATTTTATTTTGATAAAATCACACAATGATGTTATACAGTTAGTAATATTTACTGAGGACCATGTTTCGAGCACAATTTATTACTCATAATCATATCAAGGCACTCACTCACACAATTTTTTTCCTTCATTTATATACATGAGTGAAACTGATTAGGCATTTGATAAGATAAGATAAGATGTACATTCAGAAATAATAATATTAGTGTTATCAATGAAATACAATCAGATGAGAAATAAAACGGGTGTTTATAGTTAAAATAAGTAGGTAACTTGTTAGAATGTTGTGATGTGATTGAACTGAAATAGAATTTTGAGATTATTTATTATCCTCTTCTGATTTGACTGACTGGTGGTAGTAATAACTTCCATACATATCTCTGGTATTTGCATTGAGTCATTTCTGTTGCATGTGTTGGGTGAAAACTCTATGAACCAGGCAGGATTCAGTAATCAATCTCTCTCTGTCTCTCTCTCCACCTACATAGATTACTTCTTAGAATCTTAACCCTCTCCTAGCCAACTTATTGTGTGGTAGTGTGTTAATGCATGTAGTGCAATTGCTGAGCTTTATTTTTCTAAATTACTTATCCTCTCGGTGTCAACCATTCTTACCTTCGCCAAATTCTTATATTCCAACAATCTGGTTACACCTAATCTACTAATTTGACCTATGTTGTTGACTTCACTGACAGTCATTGCAAGGTATTTTGTAAACTATATTATTTTGTTTAATTGGGTCCATCGACAGGGTTCTTTAACCTACAGCGCTTGTCCTACCTGAGTGAGTTTGTAGGAGGGTTTGAATGCCACCACTCTGATTCCTGCTTTATTTAGAATCCTACGTAGGGTTTCAGATGTCCCTTCCTTATATGGTATAACAGTAGGCGATTTATATTCTCTCTTATTATTGTCATCATTATTAGTTTTACCATTATTTTTTATTTTGCTTTTGACCACTTTTGATCTTCCGAATGAATTTTATAGGATAGTTAGTTATTTAACATTAACCAGCTATTCTCCTTCTATCTGTTTCATTTCATCGTTTAGGTTTGTTGATGTACTACTTAGGGTTGTTATCGCTCGGTTTGTTAGACACTGAACTAAGCCAGCAATAGCACAAAGTAGCACAAAAAGACCTAAACGATGATGTGAAGCAGATAGAAGGAGAATAGCTAGTTGGTGGTAAATAACTAACCATCCTATAAAATTCATCAGGAATATCAAAAAAAGCCAAAAGCAAAATAAAAAATAGTGGTAAAACTAATAATGAAAACATAAATAAGGAAGAATAAAAGGCATCTACAGTAGTTTTTATCATATAAGGAGTGGACATCTGAGACCCTAGGTGAGATATCTTCTGTTTCTGACACTATGAATGTATCATTCACACGGTATTACTTCTGAATGTACTTTATCTTATACTGCATTTTATTCAAATGTCTACCCATCAATTTTACTCATGTATATGAATGAAATAAAACGTTGTGTGAGTATTGCCTTGACATGATTATGAGCAGTAATAGTTTGTGCTTGAAACGTGGTTATCATTAGTAAATATTACTCAATGTATAACATCACTGTGTGTGATTTTACATTTGGCGGGGGGGGGGGCGGGAGAGATGAAACATTTCCTAAGTTTCAATTTATGCTTATAACACATCCATGTGAAGTCAAATATTTCATTTCCTATAGTTAAACATCATCACAAAATGATATCAGTTGGATAAGTACTAAGATCAACGAACCACTCGACTGCTGTGTTTTTTTTCCGCCGAAATTCATGGTGAGGTCCACCATGAAGTAAATCGAAATTTCTACTCATAATTAACTAAAAATTCGTCATTTGGTTGGCTTAGTTTTTACCACATTAAATGACGATGACCTCCTCATGGTTTGAAGTAGATTCGCATCCAGGTTGAATGTGTAAATGCAAAATTAAAACTGAAATACTATAACTAATCAGTCTTTCACGTAATCCGTTTACGTATTCAGATGCACAAAAAAGCCCTTTTAGTGAATTTCATATGGAAAGTGAGGCGGGATATATTGGTATACATAAAAAAATAATTATCAGGCCTAAAAGACAAATATATATATACAAATATGCTTATAACTGGTAGTTGAACAGAATCATGATGAGTTCTCAGCATTGATAAAAAGCATCTTGAACATATTCAAGTAGTCTTGGTATTTTTTTTCTTTCTGGACTTGTTTTCATGAACTCTCGCCTCAATTGAATTTGTTTAAATCGAGTCTTTTGTTTTAATTATCTACGAAAAAATGGCGGTATTTTCAAATGCTCTCAATTAACATGCAGCAAAAATAATTGATCAAAAATGGAGTCATGCTAAACAAAACGAAAACGTAGTCAAGCTAAGGGGGTTTCTTTTATTTTTGGCAAATTCAGGGGCCGATAATCACAAACATCATGCACATGCATATTACATAACTCAATGGTATAGATAAATGTGACAAAAGATACTTTCAGGAATTTTCGCCTTAGAAACGATCCAAAACTGTTCAGAATTGTTTAGAAAGCAAAAATATGAAAAACAATGTAGTTATCTATCGACTAGAGGTATTGATTTAAAATTGTGATTTCTATTTCATTTACTGATTAAAAGGTAACTGGGAGTTATTCAGCGTAAAAACATGCCACATTTAATTATCAGATGACTCCATCTAGAGTGAGTCACTGAACTGAGAACGAGGCAATGGTAGAGACCCGTTTCTTCCTTTTTGGGTACTCTTCAATGCCATTCACTTATGATTCAAAAAGGAGTTGTTTTTAAAGATAGTTGAATTTTGGTTAACTAAATTTATTCCACAGTGCCCACATTGTGCTTATAAACCTGCATTGCCTGTATAGCTGCCTAGCATTCGCACTTTTGAGAGAGTTTAAAGTTTTCAGTGTGATTACTGTTGAAAAGAAGGAACAGAACAGACTCCTGTGAAACATGGGGCACCTTCAAGCTAGAGGCTTGAAGTTTCTGTAGCAGTGGTGTTTATTTTTACGGGATTGAGTTGCTAGCTAGCCTCATGCATAGCCTTCGCGTTTTTACTAGTTTTATTGACGGCTTAGCGAGGTAATGGAGGAGTGCGTCAGTGGCTATCGGATTGAACGCCGGATCACGTAGGGTGTGGTGGTCGGTGAGCATTCTATCGCTGTGCAACCGACGTTAAATCGGTTAATAGTAGTGCTAATTCACTTAGAACTGAACTCCAGCTGACTGGTTGAATGAGCCAGTGAGTCATCCTGGTAACCTAAAGGTTCTAATTCTAATCTCACTGATGATATGTATTGTACATACTTGTGTAAATTACCAAAAACTAAGATGAAACAACTGCCCTATGCACTTTGGTTACTACACATGCCTTAAATGATTATTTGCGTTAATGTTAAGAGAATGAACTGTAAATACTAACAGTGAACTCATTCAATATTACCAGTGAACTCAGTCGAAAGCCCTGAAGGAAAGCACAAAGATAATCGCCCTACCATATATATATAAAGGATATATCAGAAATCGCTACAAGACTCTTCGCATACGAACCAACAAAATCAATTCACTCGGCTGACTCTATGTCAACCAAAAGACTCAACAACGAAATAAGATGAAACCAACATCATCTACAAGATAAATTGTGAAAACCCCTACGTTCGCCAAAGCGGATCACCCTCCTCATCGTCTTCGTATCCATGAACATAAGCTAGGCGTCAAAAGACATGACATTCACTCCTCATATCACTCGCTGTATGGAGACAACAATGGACATCAACTCGACTGGGACAACCAACGTTTAAATATTAGACAGAGGAAACATCAAGAATGCTAGAGAATTCTTAGAAGCTTGGCATTCCAGTGAATCATCAATCAATAGATTCATCGAGAGAGAGAGAGACCGAATTTCCCAATGGATAAGAAGAAAACTTCACGCACAAAGGGTCAAAGTTCAAGTCAAGGAAAGAATTATTACCGATACCAATACAAGTAGCCCCCAGAGGGTGTGAAAACACACAAAACACATTCAATCACGTTCAAAAGTCACCAGGAGAGATGATTAATAAACTCGTGGAGAAATCTAAATGAGCGCTTCAGATGAAAGTATTCGCTGAAGATGTAGCAAATTAATTATCCAGCTCAGAGAACACAACCACACAAAACTCATTCTTGTACATTTTCTCTTCAACAGTATGGCATAAAATTTATTAGTGCAATTGTCTTTCTTTTGGCATATTTACCCCCTCCCCCAGCCTACTTGCCTTAGTTTTGGTATTTTGCTTTTATCAACTTTTCATGTGAAAAAGAAAGGCAGCTTTACTTGATTTATTAACTAATTATTTCGCATTTTCTCACACATAAATGCATCCATACTACTATTGTTACTATTACTACTTTTATTGCATTATTATGAAAAGTTTTGTGGGAATTTAATAGACTAACTATAGGGAATTTATAGAACTAGGTTTTTCACTTGAAGACTTCAAGTAAGCATTAGTGAAGATAGAGGTAATAAAGGTAGCCGACGAACACCACCAACACCGCCACCAATAGCAACAAAGACAGGCCACTGTCATTATTATTATTATTTCCTTTAGTTCCTAGAGAAACACAGGGCTTCAGACTCACTTCTTCATTGCGTTTGGTTCTCTGAGAACGTTTTCATCTAGCTCCAAGTTTGCCCACATACTTTTATCTCCTCTTTACATGACCTCCCCTTCCATGTCACCCTCTCTCTGATGACCAACTCGCCGCTTCCTGTTCGGGTTCCACTCGAGCGACGGCCTGTCGTGTGATGTCCCTCACTTGATGGTTTTCTCAGAGTGTCGCCAATCTCTCTCCATTTCTAGCTCCATATTTCTCGTTCGATTGATTCCTGCTGGGTTGATTCGCTTCCAGAGGTCCCTCCCTGTTTTTGATCTTTTCTGGCAGGCCATCTGATCTTGAGTAGTATTGAGCGAAGACAGCTACTGATGGAGGTAAGTAGTTTGTTTGAGGTGCTCTTCATGACTCACCAAGTCTGTGATCCGTATAGTAACTAGTACTGACTTCACATTGGAGTTGGAAACCCGGCTCTTATTTTTCATGCTGAGTAGTGCTGTTGACCTCTACACAGACTTGAGAGTAATGAAAGCTTGCCTTGCTTCACCGATCCTCACTTTGATATACTCGCCAGTTTCGTTTGCCTATAGTTGAAATGAGACTTCTCAGGTAGGTAAGTAAACGAGGTTGCTTCTTTCAGATTTCTCCCATTTATGCTAATTGTTGTCTGTTGTTGTCGCTGTTGGCCGAGGATATTCATCACCTCTGTTTCCTCCATGTTCGCCTGGAGTGAATTCCTATCTTTGATGATTCTTCTATCACGAACTTGTTGCTTATCACTTGAGTATCTTCCAGTTTGTGGGAAATTAGATAAGTACGCTACATTCGCTAAGTTAGATAAAACTCTTATTTCCCTGGCGTTTCTTGCCAAGAAGTTGTGAAAGCCATTATCATTAAGAGGAATTCGACGGACTTCACTTGCTTAACTTTTCTAGGCAGCATCGTTTCAACTACAAGCCAGCAGAACAGAGGAAGATTTCAAAACCAGAATTGGAGGAGCATGACAAACCTTCATCACTGTGGAGTAGGTTTAGAAATCTTCTGTACATAACCAACATGAGGAACTATATGAGTCAGAAATTTGGATCGTTACAAAAGTCATTTCCATTTTCATCAACAACTCCCTGCTTCACAGGGCTGTATGCTGAAGATCGAATATATGCAGAGAGAATTTTCCAACAACCAACTCTAAGAGCGAAACAATCAAAAACATTTTGCCTAATAAATATGAAGAAGAAAATGGAAATAGATGGAACAGACACTGAGGAGAGCATGGGATAACATTCTGCGCCAGCCAGGTAGTCTCTTCACTGGAATCCGAATGAGAAATGACAAGTTTGGATGTGTGTCTGAAGGTGACAGGGAGGAGATTGTGAGATAAAAATGATGACAGCCTATTGGAAATGGTGTAGTCAGCTGAAAAGGACCACAGCGATTCAGACAAAGTGGATATATTTGCTATTGAAGCACTCTGTTTCAGTCGGAATCCAATGAGGCAATAATTCAACAAGGTTTCACACTTTCTGCCAACCATCAAGTCCGTAAATTTATTGAGATTCTTTTTCCCCGCAGAAAAGTAAATTTGTGTAATTCAGGATTAATGTACATAGTTAATTTCTGTGCACTCCGTGTGGAATATAAGTCTTCAAGCTTGAGCAGTAAAATTTTGGTAGTGCTCATGTTGTTTATTCAAAGGGTGATTTGCCAGCCATATATATGCATTTGTACTCTCTTTACCAGGCTTTCTATTGGTTAGGTGATTTTTAGGAGATTGTCAGTCAGAAATCGAACCCCAGTTCACGTGAGTTGAACCAGTGACGTATAATTCCATACTGAATAAGTTTATTTCATATAATAGACGGTATGATACAGTGAGCTGATAATTTAGTAAGGTTTTGAGAACATTTATTTTTGTTTATTATCATATCCCTGTATTCACACAACCTTAACACTCACTTTATACAGCATTATCCCTTTCCATTACCTATTGAAAATTCTTATACATCCAGGATAGGTGGTAATGAGTTAAAAACGCCACCACCATGTGTCAGATCAATTTTGGATTTACCTGCTGCTCGATTGGATTGAAATGTTTGGGTCTCTATTGACATTTTAGCCCCTAGTATGGGGCTTCAACAATTTCTGAGGACGACCTTGAAGTATTTTGATTATGTTGATCAGCAGTCCATCTTTGGACACATCATCCAGATTTACTTGCATCCTCACTGAGTGGTAGATGGTATTATCACTGGGACTCAAACCAAAAACACTCATAGTTTCAAACGCTGAAGCTTTGTCCACTAGACCACTTAGGCAATGGAGAAACCAAAGTTGAAATAAAATAAATAAAAACTGATGCTTGTTGCACAGGAGGTGGTGGCTCTTGTGGGCCAAGTGGTCTAGTGGACACAACTCTGGCATTTGAGACGATGAGTAGTGAGTTTAAGTCTTTATGTGGACACTATCACACAAAAGGGACGAAATGTGGGTCCATCAACTGACGTTATGTAATATGACATTGAAAGAAACAATACTCCAACAAGGCTTTAAAAGGTCCTCAACCATTGTCAAGATTTATATTATCTTGGAGTGACAGAATTCAGTTCGCACCGAAAAAGTGGACAATATATGAATAATTCGATATGAAAGATCGATCAGACTATTTATTACAGACCTACAATTGGTCGTCATGAGTCTGCATAACCTCTTCCTGCAATTTGAATTTGACTTTCTGAAAGGAAATCATTCTTTGCTGACAAGCGTCAACAAGCATCACAAAAAGAAGGCCAAAATCCATGGGATCTTGAGGATCGTCTTCAATAAGCTAACTGTAAATTCTTTATACTTGTACTTCAGTGGTAGGTGAATACATTTAAAACTAAGATTTTCGTTTTTAAAAGGAAAAAAAGAAGAAGAAAATGGTGAACAATGTGGTTTACCTTTAGTAACGGGAAACTGATAATGCATTTCTTCTTCAGCCCCTAAAACAATAAATACAGAAATTATTTGGAGAAAAAAAATGTTATTTAGATACACGTGTTATTTTAATATAATAAGAGATGAGAGTATTATTTCATCTAATTTTATTAATTGACAGATGATGGCCAGCAGTTTGTTATGTACTCGTCAATTAGTTAATAGTCCTGACGCAAGAAAACAGAAATCAGAAAACCATCAGGTTCACGATGATACTTGTATTTTTCAAACACAAAGAAAAATCAATGTCACACAAGAGTGTGAGTGCAAAATATATATGAATGTCCGAACAAGTGTGTGTGAACACAAGTGTATGAGCGAATGTTCAAAAATGAACGAATCAGTAGACAGTCTTAACATGATTGGCTAATTATAATGGAATATCGATCCATATATTCACAGCAAAATAATAACAGAGTGTCAAAAACAAACGCACATATTATGTGGATATATATATCACTTCCCCTTTTGAGAAGATTGATGATTAATAGCGTGCTTTCTTGGGGTTTATCTGAAACCGTTCAGTTTGTTGTCGACGTCTGTTGCTTCTTCTGCTCTGTCTGGAGTTGTCTGAGCTGCGCAATTTTGCTTTTCTGTTTTGTCAGTCCTAGGTAAGTTAAAAGCATCCAAGAGAATATCCGGAGGTAGGGATGACTGTGTACTGGTAGGGATATTTGAATTTCTTGGACGCAACTGCTTGTAGTGACGGGTCCATAAATCATTACCAACTTTCACTTCGTACATAACTCGACCACGTCGTGCTGCGATGGAACCTTTATTCCAAGGGTTATGTCCTGCTCGATAGTCGCGGACATAGATATGGTCACCAACATCAAATTTTTTTCATTCCGAAATGATGAGTTTGGGTGTCGGTGGTAACATTGAGTTGTGAATCGTTCTAAGTTTGCGTCCGTAAAGAATTTCTGCCGGCGATTTCTTGTTCTGTGTTGACTCATTCGCTGTTGTACGGTACACCATCAAGAATTTTGGGATGATGTCAAATGGTGTCCCCTCTCCCTCTGCTTTGAGTAAAGCTCTCTTCAAAGTGTCGAAAAAACGTTCCGCTTGGCCGTTTGACTGAGGATGATACGGAGGTGTGAGCATATGCTCGGTAGCATTTTGACGATAGAACTGCTGAAACTGATGAGAGGTAAACTGCGAACCATTGTCTGTAACTATGGTTTCTGGGAGACGATGATGGGAGAATATAACAGTGAGAGCTTTGAGAGTCTGGGACATTGTCTTCGAAACCATTGGTATAACTTCTGGCCACTTAGAAAAAGCATCTACCACCACTAAATCATATGCACCATTTGTAGGGCCAGCAAAATCAATATGAATTCTGGACCAAGGATGGGCTGCTGGTGGCCACGGTACGGGAGGTAGCTGGTGGGTAGTTTTGCCGATTGTTGACATTTTGAACATCGTTGAACAAAATCAAGGCAGGATCCATATTTCGTCCTATTTGTGACTCATCAGCCAATGGATGTACCGGCATTCCCCACTCAGTGAGCGATGATGTTCCCCGCGCCAAGGCTCGAACCCAGTGCCCATAGTTTCAAACGCCATAGTGGTACCACTAAACCACTTGGCCCACGACAGTCACCTCTTTCTTGTGCAACGGGTCATATTAATTATTTAATTGAATTTTAGAGTTTCTAGCCGATTGACTGAACCTAAGTACTTGGTCTCAGGTTGACATGTCGGTCGGCTTCTTGTGTAGATGCTTCGACGATGTCCAGGCATTTAATTAACTTCTAAGGTCGTAGGTTCGAACCATGATGGTGAGTGATGGCTAAAGGATCCCAAACTTAGATGAAACTGCTGTCCAGTATTTTCGTTTTGTTTTGAACAGTTTCTGATAATATTTCACTTGTTCCACTTATGATTTCGAATCGATATAATAGTGTTGTAAATAGTGTTATGTATGTATTCCTTTGTTTGGTACAGATTGAATTCTAGTGGTCAAGTCTGCAATGGGGCGACTATGCCACTAGATGGCTGGCCAACACGGGGCTCTTTGAATTGTTGATATCTGATGGTTGGGGGCAATCAGTAGGATGCATTGGATATAGGTTTTGTGCTAGTTGGCCGTTTCACTTATTTGGGAAGTTGCATCAGCCAACGCCAACGGGTTGATCACTTACGAAATCTCAGTACGGATACAGAAGGCTTGTTTCGCATATGCCAATTTACGCCGTCTCCGGTGTAAGATGCGGTTGGCTGTCAACCAAAGGGCGTATGTACTGCTCAGTATTCCGCTCCATCCTCCTTTATGGCTGTGAGACATGGTCATTGAGAGTGGAGGACATGAAAAGGCAAGCTAGCTAGCTGTCTTTGATCATAGTTGCCTGCGTTCTATCTCCCGTGTGAAGTGGTAAAATAGGTTGACTATGTGGGCGGGAGGGGAAATCAATCGACGAAACTGTGACGTTACACCGATTGAAAGAGATGATCAGGACGTGTGTTACGCATGCATGCCTAGCAATCGCCTTTCTCGACAATAGGCAATGTTAGCTGACTAATGAGGGATCGGTTTGCAAAAGAGTTAGTATTAGTCCAACCAAAACACTGCTTCATCAGTCGATGAAATCTACAACAGTTAATTTAAGCCAGCCATGTAGAAAGGTGTAGACTTCTTAACTGGGGTCCTCGGGACGGTAAACACCAATGAAGGCTGGAGACAACTCAAAATCGTTCTCGAAACGTGGTCATCAGTTAATACTACAGTAAAACACCGTGTGATTTATCAAAATAAAATCTTATCCATAATTGGGGCTACTCCAGACTCTGGAAAACAGCTCCCTACCTTGACACCTTACTAAAGATTAGATGGTCGACTGGATAAGATAAACAAGGAAAGACTCTGTTAACGAATGAGTCAAGAATCTACGGACTGTAGATTCACTGAGAAGTCTCTTGAGTAACAACATACGCCAGGTAGACGTTTGAGTGGGATCCGCTGGGAAACGATTACTTTGATTTGGATCATAATGTGACATTGTCAATTGTGGAGCCAACACAAGAACACAGTGAAGTGAGGAAGTTCTGATGAATACGCATATTCCACACGAAAATAATAATGATGATAATAATAGTAACGAGGATAGAATTTTTATCTAATGAAAAACAAACAAACAGATGTAAGACTTACTTTGTTCTGTTTTCGTTTCCTCTGTACGCTGACGAATTCTTGAATCCTGATGAACTGTTTAAATGGAAAATAATATACACATATATAAGAGGAAGAATAGTAGTCAGGATCAGAAAACTGAGGAATACAATGAATTAACTAAAAGTCAATCTGAACGAAGAATATTCTTTTCAATAATTTCTCCTTTTCAGGTTCTTACATTTGTAAAATTATGATATTTGTTGTCGTTACAATAATGATAGCCAGTTATGCGGCGGATATATTTTTACGTAGAATAACAGATTAGTTATGGAGTGTCAAAATAAATAGTCGTATTTGCGTGACAAACGTGCTAGTTGGCTGAAATCGATTACATTTACCAGCTTGTTTCAGCAGGAGGGGTAAATTAAGCGCATAAAAAGCTCCATCCTATCACACTTGGTCGATACTGGATATCACATCGATATCAACACAGTTTTCAGGGTTATATACCGAATTCTAAAGTCGTTATCACGTACAGTTCGCTTACATCTGCTACATATAGCTGAGGCTGTTGCAGTAAGATTGACTAAACGGGAAGTTTCTTTCTAAAAAGAACACGTCCAGACGCTGTTCCTACCGTGGCCGAACTTGGACTGATGATTCTTCTTCTCATCAAGAGTGTTTCTTCCTCTTAACCCTCTTGGTTTCTCCCCATTCCTTATTATTATTCGTCATAATTTATGCCCTTCAAGCAAACGTTCTCTCAATACTATAGAAATTTCCATTTATGCGATCCGAACTTATCATTAGTGATATTATCTCTTTTCTCAATATATGCCTCCACCTGTTTCATCTCACACATTCCTTATTTCATTATGAATCTCTTTAATTCAGTCATACTATTTTCTCCTCTTTAATACAGACCACTTTGTACTAGCCACTCACCTGACATCTTTTATAACCTTGAAGTGACTTGTCAATTTTCCTACCCCATACTCTACAAATCACCACAATATTTTGTAATCTTCTTCAGCCCAGAGCACATTTGTCACACAAATACGACTATTTATTTTGACACTCCGTAACTAATCTAGCTCCGCAACTAAACCAACCGGCTCAGAGAGACACTATTAATTGCAAAACTCCATAACTAATCTGTTATTCTACGATGAAAAAAACGTATCCGCCGCATAACTGGCTGTCTTTATTGTAATGGCAACAAATAATATCGTTTTATAACTGTAAGAACCTGAAAAGGAGAAATTATTATAGAGAATATTCTTCGTTCAGATTGACTTTTAATTCATGTGGTATGGGAATATTTCACAGTGAATTAGAACTGATAATTTAGGTGGACCTCCAGCTCACTTCTTTTTGTAAGATATTTAATACCTCATTCAGTGCTTCTGATACTGGTATTTCATTTGAATTGATTTGGTAAATATTGACGCTTCAGTCCATAGTAAAATATTTCGGTTGATTTGAAATGTTTCTTCTCTCTCTAAGCTAAACTGACATCAGTAAACTGATAATGAACTCAATTTCAAAAGAGCGGACAAGGTTGTTCGATTTTAAACCACTTCGATATAACAGTATATACCATCATAAGGAGCACTAACTGAGAGAATGAATCGCATTAGCTCAGACAGAAAAGAAAAGGTGAAATGAATATAGAAGTGAGTTTTAGTTCAAGGAAATGTCATCACAAATAATGTCAGAGGTGAATTCCGCGTCCTTGTATTCTTTTTAATACGTATACACCATTATTTATGCAAATCATTTAAGTATTCTTTGACCTTGGTGACATCCTCACGTCTTACTTCATTAGGAAGTTTGATATATTTGCTAGTTTCATGAATATTTACGGATAATTTTTTTCATCTTCCCTTTGTTAACTTGTGAATGAAGGACGAGGCTGTTTTTCCATGATCATTTAATGATGCATTTGGATGAAGGATTTCATCATGAACTGACATTAGTTGGCGAACCACTGGAAAACAACCTGGGAGTACTGCACAGCTGTTTCCGTTGTTTTAGTTTGGTACTCTTCATCAGTACGCACCTATCAAATGTGGGTCGAAACCAGGAGCTTCTGGGTACAAGACTATTGAGCCAGTAGACCATCGAGCTACTGAGACCCAATCCAATGGCCAGCCAGTCCGTGAATTCTAAAATCTGCCAATTTCGCAATGTCTTCTTCGATGAGTTACTGTCTCACCTTCAACCTTCTGTACCTTACTGGTCACGGCTTTGTAACCAGAAGGTCTTGAGTTTGAACCTCGGTGGGTGCGTACTGATGAAAAGTCACAAACTGGGCTGACGAAACAGCTCTCCAGTACTCCCATGTTTTCCAGTGCTTCTCTAACTGACGTCAGCTTATGACGAAATCCTCCATCAAATGAAACGAAATCCCACAAAACTTATACTTGATAATGATGCATTTATTGAAATATTCAATAGCGCTTTATTTAGTTATTTTGTGTAGTGTGTCGTTGTGTTTCATGATACGTCTGCCTGGTTGATGAAGAGTTATTTTTCGTCATGACAAAACTCAGTGTTACACATCCCCTTAACTAGTTCAGCAGTAACAGGTATTTGATGATTAGCCTTTTTTTGAAAATTATTTGTACATGACTCAGCTATTCTGACTTCATGTAATGTGTTCCATGTAGATAGATTAAGTACAATACAGTTTACAAAACCGTGAAACTGGTTCGTTCCATTCGACCCAAAAGTCAATGATTCATGTTTGACAAGTTCAGTTGAATTAATGAATGAAGTGTAAGTTAACTCAAGCCTGTAGAGTAAGGAGATGGGAGGATTTCATCATGAGCTGACATCAGTTAAGGAACCATTGAAAACCACTACCAGGGAGTACTGGACAGCAGTTTCATCAACCTAATTTGGGAATCATTCACAGTACGCACCCATCACCGACAGGGTTAGAACCCACGACCTTCTGGCTACAAGACCAGTGAGCTAGTTTACTATTCAGCCAATGGGATCCAACCCGATTCACTGGTCAGCCCATGAATTCTAACTTCTACCATTACGTGATCTAGCGTGACTGGCGCCAGCCAATATCCTCGGTGGGTCATCCACCCTCCCACTTGACACCTGGATGGACCTAACTGTCCACAACTTCCCACTAGAACTAACTCCAGAAAACTCCGTCTGTCCTCTAGCTAGTCACTATCGAGCATCAGATTAATTTTCCATAGTTGGTGTTTTTTGTAAGGGTTAGTTTTGTTTTTACGACTTGATCACGGATTGATATCAGTTAGAGAAGCATTGAAAACCATCACTAGGGGGTACAGGACAGCCAGTTGTTTCAACAACCTACTTTCGGGAATCATCGGCAGTACGCACCCACTGGGGTTATTAGTATTATTGATTTTTGGTGTGCTTTATCTTTATAAAATAAAGTACTCATTACCTGCGCTAAACAACTAACTATCCTACTGTGCAAACACGCATATCACTTAAAGTACAGTACGGAGAAACATACACACACAAACGAACACGCATCATATTTGGTTGTTATTTTCATCTAAATTTAAACACATCATAAGTCAATATTATAAATCGAAGGGATAAGTATGCGCTTTAATCGATACTTTTCAGTTTCTAAAATTGATTTGAAATTCCAACTGATACGATTTATTACTTAAATATTATTTTTGTTTCTTTATAATACTAACTGCCAATTCTAATCACTTCAAAGTTTTGTTGATTGATTTGAGACAAAGGGATACATAGAAGGAGAGATTAATTATCCTACTGTTTGGATCGGGTCCCAGTGGCTCACTGGTCTACTCTTTCGCTAGTCTTGTAAATACAAGGTCCTGGGTTCAAACCCAAGTGGTGGGCACGCAGTGTTGAAGATTTCCAAACTAAGCTGACGAAACAGCTGTCCAAGATTAGTTCACTGCATATACCTACAAGGAGTCTGTTTTGATCGCTATATTGGTTAACTGTAGTGCTAAAAAATTTGATAGAAATTCTAATTTTACTGATCATTGGATTCAATCTGATTGGCTGAATGAGTGAGTCAGTGAGCCAGTCTGGTAGCCTGAATGTCCTGATTTTGATAATTGCTGGCAGTATGTTTGACAACTGGTGCAAATTATAGAACTAGGAAGAAGAAACAACTGTCCACTACTCCTTGGTTTTCAATGCTTTTCAGAGAGCACACCGAATTGGTAATACATATTCACGCGACTTAAAAGAAAATATTTTTCTTATTATTATTTCCTTCAGTTCTGAGTCGAACATTACCATTACATCCTGCTGCATTCAAATCTTTTCAATCGGTCTGAAGACTGCATGGAATTCTTCATCTCCTCCTCACTTTCGTTAGGACATTTTTTGTGACAGCTATACAATAGAACGCAACAGATCAGCTTCCTGCCTTCACACCATACGACACGTGGGATTTTATCATTAAAATATGACCGTATTTTTTGATGGAAGGGATTTGATATGTATCCACATATATATATTTATGTGTGTGTGTGTATGTTGGTCTCTCTTTCTGTTTGCTCTCTTAGTCTGTGACCATTTCACTTGTATGAACCTGTCTCCTTTAACAATGTATATTCTCCTTATATTATATATATAATATGAGTGTTTGTTGACAGTCCGTTGCTTGGTGACATATATCCATATATGGTGGTTGTTGACATGTCTGCTATATTTTGCTATGTATATATGGATCGACACTCCATTATAATTAGCCATTCATGTTAAGACTGTCTAGTGATTTGTTCACACCTTTTGTCTGGACATTCATATATATTTCGTTCTCACAATCTTGTGACTTACTTACCACTTTGGTGTGATACCACTTATTGCTTCTCCTTGTGTTTGGAAAATAGAAGTATCATCGCAAACCTAGTGGTCTTCTGATTTCCGCCTTCTTGTGTCAGGACTATTAAATTCTCGACCAGTCCATAACAATAATTTAGCGACGAGTACATAACAGGATTATAATGCAAACTAATGCCTTTTCTTTAATTTAATTTAGATTTTCCCTTGGACTGATTAGACCGAAGTGTTTAGTCTCAGATTAACAAGTCAGGTTCTTGTGCAAATGTTTCTCAGAACGAGAGAAGAAAAAGGATTTCTACAGACAACTACAAACAATAATGGACAACGTCCACAATGGCGATATCAAAATCCTGATGGGTGATATAAGTGCGAAACTGGGGGAGATAATACAGGAAGAGAACTCACCATAGGTCGTGCGGCCCTCGATGAAATGAATGACAATGGTGAACTCTTCTCAGACTTCTGCGCCTTCTATGATTTGGTGATTAGTGGCAATGTGTTTAAGGATATACACAAGGCGACATGGATTTCATCAGATGGACACACCAAAAACCAGACGGACTTCATTGCAATCTCAAGGAAGTGGAGATGGAGCCTACTGAACACAAGGTTGTGGAGAGGAGTAGATTTGGGTTTAGACCACTATCTAGTATAATGTACTTTCAAGGTGAATCTTAAAGCCTCGAGGATAGCTAAGAATAGGCCACAATGCAAGTTCAACACTCAGAAACCGAAGGACACAACCACAAAAGACACTTTCACTGCAACTGCCAGAGCAAAGCAGGAAACACTACGTGACATCACTGAAGAATCATGCGTCGAAGACCATTGGAACTCTCTGAAGGTGGTTTTCAACGAAACGTGTTCAACGGTTTTAGGAAGAAAGAAGAGACAATACAAGGAATGGCTCTCAACGGACACTTGGAAGCTAATAGAGGAGAGGGGAATGGTGAAAGAGAAAATGATTCAATGCAGAGACGGACAAGAGAAGGGGATGCTGAGTTCAACTTTCACAGCATTACTGGACAAAGAAGTGAAGAAGAGTGCTAGGAAGGACAAAAGACGATTCTACGAGAACCTCGCCAATGAAGCTGAGAAGGCAGCAGACAAAAGGGACCTCATGACATTACATCAGATAACCAAGTCCCTATCCGGGAAGAGATCAACACAAGTGAAACATATAAAAGACAGCCAAGGGAACCCAATTACCAAAAAGAAAGATTAAATAAAGGGTGGATCACTTCAAAGGACTCTTGAACCGACCACCACCTGCGACCCATCCAGAAATACCACAACAGCACGTACACAACTGCAAGTTGACACCAATCCTCCAACGAGAGCTCAAGTCTTGAATGCAATCAAGCTTCTGAAAGCTGGAAAAGCAGCCAGACCAGATGGAATACCCCCTGAAACACTGTTAGCGGACCTGGAGACGACAGCAGGTATGCTGACTTCATTATTGCAAATGGTCTGGAAGGAGGGAAAGGTGCCTACTGACTGGAGGAAAGGTTACCACCTTCTGAAACTACCAATGAAGGGAGACTTAGGACTCTTCAAGAACTGACAAGGAGTCATGCTCCTGGCAACGCCCAGTAAAATTCTGAGTGATATCATCCTGGTGAGAATAAAGGACGCACTGGAGACAGAATTCCGACCAGAACGAGCTGGATTGAGGAAAGGCAAATCATGTTCTGACCAAATTGCAACTCTACGCATCATCATCACAGAACAAAGCATGGAATGGCAATCAAACCTCTACCTCAACTTTATAGACTTCGAGAAGGCATTCGACGGCGTTGACCGCGAAGTAATTTGGAAATTACTCGAGTACTATGGTGTACCTTAAATATTCATCAACCTTATTCAACAGCTGTACGACCACGACACATGTCAAGTGATCCACAACGGAAAACCCAGTGGGGCGTTTGGAGTAAATGCAGGAGTCAGAGAAGGGTGCTTATACACCAATTATTCCTAATTGGGTGGACTGGATTATGCGTCAGACAGTGGGAAACAGAAGACAGGTTATCCTGGATCGACGTGAAGAAACTAGAAGACCTGAATTTCGCGCGTTGATGATTTATGTTTGATGTCACACAAAATCGAAGACTTACAAGCGAAAACCGACCGACAAACTGGTCGAAGAAGCAGTCAGCGAAGACAGGACTCCAGGTGAACGTAGACAAGACGGAGGTTATGAAAATATCCAACCAACAACAACAGCAACACCCAGCGTCTATCACTATCAATCGGAGGGATTTGAAAGAGGTCACCTCATTCATTCACTTATCTAAGGAGCATTGTCTCAACTAAAGGCATTCGGAACGGACGAGGATGTCAAACCGAGAATCGGGAAGGCGAGAAACACGTTGTTCATCAACCTGAAACCAATCTGGAAGCCAATCTTCGTCACCCAGCATCAAAAACAAAATTCGGTCGAATTTTGAATACAAACGTCAAGTCAGTCAACTGTTCTATACGGATCAGAAACTTGGCGGGCGGGTCGGAAGAAATATTTCCAACAGCCTATTGCAAACCTTTATCAGCAACTGTCTTCGCTGGCTCTATACTGAAGATCAGATGGCCGGGCCGGAAAGAATCACCAGCAGGAAACTATGGGAAGCAACGAACAAAACAAGAACCAGTCACCAACCAACAAACATGTAGGAGAAAGTGGAGATGGTCTGAGCATTCGTTGAGGAGGCCTCTGGGTAACATCGCGCGTCAGGCCATTGCCCGAGTGGAACCCGGAAGGGAAGTGGCGAGTGGGACGTCACTGCAAGGGTGACGTGGAGGAGATCGTGTGAAGAGGATTTGAAATAGTATGGACTAACATGAACGCAGGTGAAAAGCACAGCAGAAGATAGAAGCAAGTTAAGATGTGCAGTTAAAGCCCTATGTACCACTAGGAACCTAAGGGAACAGTAATAATAATAATAATCATTGGATATGATCTCAGAGGCTAAATGGTCTACCAGCTCATTAGTCTTATATCCGGAAGGTCCTGGGTTTGAATCTCAGTGGGTATGTACAGATGAGGAGTTCCAAACTAGGCTAACAGAACATCCGTCCAGTACTCCGTACTGGTTTCCGAATATTTATCTAACCGATGTCAGTTCATGATCAAGTCCTGTAAACAATCAAACAAAAATCCCTACAAACCAATACTTGAATAACTTGAGATCAATTGGCGAATGATGACTAGCCTTGTTGGGAACACCATCACTCTCCGGGAGAATGTATGTACTGGCTGACGAGTCCTAAATAGGATGAAACGCGAATCCTTGTAGTCACCATCCAACAAATGACTGAATGCCTTTTCTATTAGAAAAAAATATTCGAATTTCTTATGATTATATTGAAATTAATAAGTGGAAAGAGACAAGCTGCATAAAATCTTCAAAGGATACAATTCGAATCACAAACACACAAATTGAACACTTACATATTGCGCTGTCATTACTTCTGGATTCTCGATTAGCATTTGGTTTTACTAAATCAACAAAAGAATAAAAAACGTTGGAGAAATGAAAAACCAAAAAAAAAAAAATAAATAAAATTTGGATGAAGAAAATGAACAGAAACAAACCAAACCAAAAAGACGATTTTGAATGAATAAACAACCAACAAAATAAACGAAGATTGCTGTTGTGTAGATGAATGTCTAAAACGCATTTAAGATCTACGTGATCTGTGAATCACATCAAATTGTTTTTCAGTAACATCAGTTTTATGCATACCTTGACTAAAATGATAACAGATAACCATTGTTTTCGGCGTAGATTACGTCATCAATCGGCATCGGTTAATTAGCACTGGACAGCGCTTTGCGTATCGACTCAGATCATTCAGCTGACGTCACTTTTTTTAACTGCTTAGTTACTGGATCGTTGATAAACCATACCATCTTTCAGTATTAGCTTCACAGTAACATGTTGGATTTCACTGGCTACGTTGTCTCACAACAATTTCACGGCATCCATTTTATAACCACTAATGAGCTAAATAGTGATATTCAGGCGTTTTTCTGATTGTGTGTTCACCTCAATAGTGGTAGATTTGATTAGGAATTATTTTACTGATTGTTTTGTAAGGATTAGAATTGTTTTTTACGAATTGATCACGGATTGATATCAGTTAGAGAACCATTGAAAACCAGCCAGAGGGAGTACTGGACAGCTGTTTCGTCAGCCTAGTTTGGGACCCATCAGCAGTAGGCACCCATAACCAGGATTCGAACCCAGGAACTTCCGGTTCAAGGCTAGCGAGCTCGCATACCATTCAGCCATTGGACCTGATTCAATCACCCATGCGTACTGCCGATGAGCCCCTAACTGGGTTACTAAAACAGCTGTCCAGTACTCCCTGTGGCTGGTTTTGAGTGGTTCTCTAACTGATATCAATCCGTGATCAACTCGTAAAAACATAAATAACCCTTACAAAAAACACCAACTATAGAAAATTAATCCGATGCTCGCTACTGATTTGCTACAACACAGACGGAAATACCTGGAGTTAGTTCTAGTGAGAATTCGTGACCATTGTGGTCTATCCAGATGTCAAATGTAAGGATGAATGTCCCACCGACGACAGTGGCTGATGCCAGTCACGCTAAATCGCGAATTGGTATAAGATAAGATTCATGGACTGACTGGCCATTGAATCGGGTTGGTTACCATTGGCTGAATGGTATACTAGATCTCTGGTCTTGTAACCGGAAGGTCGTGTGTTCTAACCCTGTCAGTAATGGGTACGTACTGTCGATGATTCCTAAACTGGGAGGACGGAACAGCTGTCCATTACTTTCTGGTAGTGGTTTTCAATAGTTCTCCAATTGATATCAATCCGTGATCAATTCGTAAAAACGAATCATTTCTAGTTGGAGAAAAATCATTAAAAATTAGAATGCACCAGATAGTTGTTATTTTGGGTTCTGGAGTTGTCAAAAGGGATAGGAAACCAGAATCGTTTCTGATTCAGCCATTGGATTGGAATCTTCCTTATCTTGTGTTATTCTTTTACATTCTCAGTAGAACACAGTTTGCCTTCAAGCTAAAGCTTTGAAGTCTTAGTAACAGTGGTATTTATTTTTACGGCCAGCCAGCCAGCCAGCCATCCTCATGTCACACCTTTTCTTCTTTACCCCCACAGACTTTGCGAGATTTCTGAGTGTATAGGCCAGGGTTCGAATCCCAAACTACATAAGGCATAATTGGACAGCATTCTGCTACTGTGCCACCAACGCATGGATTGGAGTCTTAATAGTACGTAAAGCATAATTTATTTTGACGAGCTATGAGGTCCAGTGACAGACTCCAATTGGTCGCACTAAAATCACTAAATGATAGAAGTTAGAATTCATGGACTGGTCATTGAGAAGGCTGATCCCACCGACTGAATAGTATAGCAGCTTGCTTGCCTTGTAACCGGAAAGTCCTGAGTTCAAAACTCAAACGAGAATGACAAAACAGCTGTCCACTAACTGTAAGTGGACTGTTTTAGGCAATTAGATTTGTTGATTTGTTTCTTCTGGTTTAGGACTCATTGGATCTGCCTTACTTAAGAATATGTTTCATAAAAGATGTGTATTAATGCGAATCAATATACACCTTTGAAACGCAATATTACTGTTATTATTCCTGTGGGTACCATGTCGAATTTAGGGATTCAACAATACACCTCTTCAGCCGGGTTTAAGATTGACCGTTATCTCTCATCTCCTCCAATGGGCACGATCTCATCCATGTCACCCTCGCACCGACGACAACCCACTCGTCGTTCTCCATTGGAATTTCACTCGAGCAATGGCCTGCCCTGCACAGCATGTTATTCGTTAGCCTCCTCAGCGTATATCCAAGCCGTCACGACTTTCTTCTGCATATTTTTTGAGCAACCGGTTCTCGCTTGTTGGTTTGCTACCAGCCAGAGTTTCTTCTTGCCAGCTGTTTCAAGCTACCTGGCCATTTTTGATATTCACTATGGAGTCAGGTAAGGTGACAGTTGTTGAAGTAATTCTGCAGTAGCCTGTTGGAAATGATTTCCACGACTCTTATTGCAAGTTTCTGACCCGAATAGAAGATCGAAATGACTTCAAATTTGTGTTGAACGTAAACCAAATTGATTTCAGGTTGATGAAAGCGCATCTTGGTTTTCGGATAGTGGCCTACTTAAACATCTCCATCCCTTCCGACCACCTGTTGTTGGGACCTTGCTTCCTACTCAGATTAGTCGAGGAAGTAACCTCTGTTAAATCACTTCTGTTGATGTTGATTGATGCTGGTTCCTGTTGTTGCTACTGTTAATGCTGGTTGGTTGTTCTATTATCTTCATCATCTCCGTCTTCGCTATTTTGACCACCTGGAGCTCTGTCTTCACTGCCTGCGTCGCCTCTTCAGTCATTCTGTTGGTTTTCGCCTGCAAGTCTCTGAGTTTGTGTCAGTAACATTAAACATAAATCATTCAAGCCCGAAATCCAGATCTTCTAGAGTTTTCTCATCACTCCGTGCAGATTGTTCCAGCCTCTTTTCTGTCTATTCACATTACGACGCATAATTCAATGGCCTTGTTTTACTCCTGTATTCATTTCAAACGCCTCACTGAATCCTGTGTTTTGGATCGCCTCAAACTGCGTGACACTGTCACATAGCCAGATATTGAATGAGACTGATAAAGATTTAGACACTTCACGCGGTAAACATCTGTGGCAGTACATGCTGTAGTGTTGGAGTAGTTTTCGAATTACGTTTCAGTCATTGCTGTTTGTGGAAGGCCTTTTCGAAGACGAAGAAGTTGAAGTAGAGGATTAATTGCAATTCTGTTCTTTGAGTGTCTGATGACGATGAGTTTTTGGGTAACATTTATGAAGCCATCTTTGAATTTCACTGATTCTAAGGCTGAAATGATTTTATAATGATGATAACTTTGAGAACAACCATCTAGCTACAAATCTTGGGAACAGGTCGCAGGAACACTTACCGGTGTGTGTGTGTATAAGCCTAAATATTGGTGCAGTGGAAACAATCAACAGTTCCACATAACACCACCTCCTTCAAACATGTCACATATCTAGTATTGGAAAGTCTTTTTCTATCATCTAGCGATTATCGAATAAATGGCCGAAGCCATCCAAACGCCGAATACTCCAACATAGCAAAGTCAATCCCCAGTGGTTTAAGACAACTGAAAACCTGCACACAACGGAAACACATTTAGCAACTATTGTTCTGTTCTCTATAATTTTTTCTCAGTTTTATCTGAGGTTCAGTTTACCACTTCATTTTCATGCATATTGTCACTGACAGGTGCTTCCGAACTCTAATATGTTCGTCGTACTGATTCTATTTTATGGTTAATTAATTTGGACACGCAGCTGTGGAACTTGATGAAGAAGAAGCTATCGAAAGTAAAAATCTCATCATGAGCTGACTTTGGTTAGAGAACCATTAGAAAACTAGAAGGTAAAACTAGACAACAATTACAACTTCTCATTAGAATCGACGTAACTACGACCAATCACTAGTCGTCACCAGAGGGGTGGAGTAGGTCAATTTTAGAATAAGTACTCGTCAGTGATGACATTTGTTAGTGCCGGTCACACTATGTTGTGAATCAGCAGAAATTGGAATGCTTGGGCTGGCTATTTGATCGGGTCCCAGCAGATAAAAATGGTCTACGAGAGGGCCTCATAACTGGAACAAGCTAGGTTCAAACCCCGGCGGTAGGTGGGTGTCGATGAAGAGTCCAAAATCAGGCTGATGTAACAGCTGCCTAACAGTAATGCCTGTTGGTTTTCCTTTGGTTCTCTAACTGATCTCACTCAAGTCACTCGACTGGACACCAGGTAGTAACTAGCATCAAGCTTTTAGTCTTTTCTTTAATGCAGACTGAATTATTTCATTCACGTTTGAAATGTGGCCACAATGCCAAATGGCTCGCCATCATAGGGGATTCTGAATTGTTGTTATTACACGCTTGAGGACAAGTGGAGAGATGCCTTAGACTCAGGTCTCGTGTTTGTTGACACTGTCGGCAAGGCATAACGTCGTTGACTGAGGCACTGGGTGAAATGGGCGAGATACATAGGAGATAAATCAACTCCTTAAAAGTTTTAGATATGTTTGATTGGACACTAGTAAGTTGTGTGATGTGTCTAGTCCTTTCTTTGGTGCAGACTGAATTCTATCAGTCAGTCAGGTTTGTAACGCGGCAACCATGCCACTAAGTAGCTCGCCATCACGGTGCACATTGATTTGATGGTATCAGATGGTTGGAGGGAATCGGCATGAAGCCTCCTCTGACCTAGGTTTGATGCTAGTTGGCACTCTCCAGCAAGGCGTATCCGCAGCTGCCTTGAAGGAACTCATGTCCCTTCCTAGATTCGAACCCGTATCACCCTGTGCTGCCTGCAGTCAGAGACGTTACCACTGAGCTAAGTATTTGGGCTCGCGATTTATCTTCTGTAGGACAGTAGTGAATATTTTTGATTGGACACTAGTCAGTAACTAGTTTGATGTGTCTAGTCTTTTTTTTGGTGTAGACTGAATTCCATCAGTCAGGTTTGAAAATATGGCCACCATTCTAGGTGGTCTTGCTGGCGACTGTCGGCTAGCGTGAAACCTCCGACAGGTTGGCCTCCCACTGATTACCACCAACCATCTAATGATAATAGTTTTAAGATAGTGAATAAGATGTCACAGCTAGGATGGTTATTTTTGATGTTGTTGTTATCTGTCAATTGAATGATTTTCAACTATTGGTTTGTAGGGATTCGGTTGATTGGTTACAGGATCTCATCATGAGCTGACATCGGTTAGAGAACCATTGGAAAACCATCTGGAAGTAATAGACAGCAGTTTCGTTCTTCTTGTTTGGGATTTTTTATCACTACGCACTTACCACCAGAGTTTGAATGCAGGACGTACTGGTTACAAGGCTAGCGAGCTAGTAGACCATTAAGCCACTGGAACCCGATCCAGTAACCAGTCCATGAATTCTAACTTCTACTAATTCACGACATAGCGCAATCACTAGCCAATGTCATCGCTGGCAAGTATTTGTCCTCACAACCGACCTGCTGCGCCCTACCGGTCACGACTTCTCACTAGAACCCCAGGTAACTACCTACCTGAATAGGGCCGGTTGCCAGTGAGCATCTCATTGATATTCAATTAATGGTAATTCTAACTTCTGCCAATTCACGATATAGCGCAACCAGGTTTGAACCCCAGTGGGTGCGTACTGATGAAGAGTCCAAAACTAGGCTGACGAAACAGCTGTCCAGTACTCCCAGGTGGTTTTCCAATGGTCCTCTAACGAATGTCAGTTCATGATGAAATCCTGTAACCAATTGAATGATTTGTTGAAATTCTTGGAGCGTTTTTTTATATTGGCTCTTTAGGCAACGATTACAGCGCCAACCTCCCTGTAATACAACATTATATCTATACGTAAACTTTTGAACTTTTCTATTAAATGGAATAAAATAATTTATGTTAAGCACAAAAATCCAATTCAACTTACTTCTCCTGGTTTTACGTCGAACCACCCTTACTTCTGTATTCCCTTCACCACATATATGTTCTTCAACTTCATCGACTGTAGCATTCTGATTTAAATCAGTATATGATCGTGTTCGGGTTGTTACATGCTGCAATTCTCCAGTAATTGGATCTATACGTGTAGATGTTGTTGTACCATTACCAAATTGTCCAGACGACTGGGTTTTCAACGAGTTGCGATTAATGACTGGTGAAGCCGATCTACCGCTGATACGCATGATTGGTGAACGCAGTGGACGTGGTGGTAGACCAGTTTGTCGTGAATGCTGTCGTAAATATCCATCTTCGTCAGCATGTTGATGTTGATGAGTGCGTTTTATAGTCACATTTCTTTCCAGAGTTGGACTACACGGTGAACTATGTATCATCCGTGAAGAGAATGATGGCTGCTCTGAGTATATTGGTCCTGCTGATGCTAATGGACCTGATGATACTCTTACTTGGACTGGTTGTTTTAATGGTTTCGTCAAAGGTGAATTATCAATTTTAATCTCATTGTTCATCAGTTCATCATTTTTTCGTTTAATCCAACTTGACTCTTTTTCTAAAAATAGATCACTAGTTGGTTTAGCAACCTGGTGTAAAGGTTCATTGAATTTACTGGGTAGATTCGTTGTTGTAGTATTAGTATGATTAAACTTTTCAATATCAGGGAATATTGTCTTTGTTGTGATTGCTGAATAGGCCGCCACTTTTTGTGGTACTTCGATAGTGTAATCTTCACCAGTATGATGACCTATTGAAATATTTGTACTATGTGTATTCTTTTTCAAAACATCATTGTTTGATTCTAAAATTGAAACATTAAAAGAAAGAATACTTGAAATTAATATTTGAAAATAAATTGTCAATTATTTTTTTGGAAAAAAGTTTTAAGACATTAACTGATATATGTGCAAAAATTTGGGCACTGTGGTAGTTGTGCGTCAGTGAAACAGCTGTTAGGACGCTCGCCTACCATACACATAGTCCGGGGTTCGATCTCCGGCCACCGACGCACTCCTTTACCTCGCTAAACCAGTAATACGACTGGTAAAGAGGAAAGGTTCTGTGTGAGGCTAGCAACCCCATCCTTTAAACATAATCACCACTGCTACAGAAACTTTAAGCCTCTAGGATGAAGCCCCTTATGTTCCAATGGGAACATGAAGGAATAAAAAAACAACTGTGGTAGTTAGTAATTCCAAATTAGTTTGTTTATTAGATATATCACACAGACACTGAAGTAGCATTATTTACTGGATAATACAGTTTCAAGCAAAATTTATTGCCGTTCATAATCATATCATCAATTATAATAATACGACTTCGAAATTTGAGTTTTATAGTTTTCCTCATTCTCTCCCAGGACCCCTTCTAGCTAACATTTTCTTTGCGCAACTAGAGAATGAGCCTTTGAAAGATGTAATTGATGAGCCTGAATTTTATTGTCGGTACATGGATGATACATTTCGCATTGTGAAAAATGATGAGGAAGAAGAGGACATCCTGGATAAATTTATTCAGATTCAGCCTGCAATAAATTTTACTATCGAGAAGGAAAGAAAAAAACTCTAGTATTTCTTCATTGCTAGACGTCCTTATGATGAGAAAAGAGGATGGCGCAATAAGAAGAAGTGTATACAGAAAACCTACACCAACAGATCAGCTTTGTGCCCTTAAAATAAATAAGCAATCTGATAAAGTGCTTGGTCCTACAGAGAGCAAGAGAAATCTGCTCGAATGAATGTCTTGATAATGAACTTGATAATATTAAACAGTTGCTAAGTGAAAATGGTTATCATGAAAAGTTCATTGTTGAGGATATGAATCTAAAATTGAAGCAACCCAAAGTACTAAGAGTTCCCTAAAAGGAAGGTCTTATTCTTACAAATTCAGTTTCTCAGGGGCAACATCAACGAGACATCAACACAACGCCTTAGGAAATGTGGTTAGAAGAGCATTCACTGCCGCCGAATCACGCTGTGCCTTCAAAACCACTCCCCTTTTGCGTTCGAGAGTAAACGATAAACTGTTTAATTTCGTCTCTTTCATGTGTATCTATCAATTTGACAGCTCCTGTGGAGTGAGGCATTTAGGTTTCCAGGCTGTAACGCTAACCTATTTCACGTTGTGGCATAGAACACAAGATTGATGTTAACCAGGCGATTTTCAGAAACATTGCCCGGATACCGACAAATCTTAACCTCGCCTAAACAGTTCGATTACTAAATGTTACTGAGATTGGCTGTTGAGATCCACATTAGGAAGCTTAATTTATGCATCCAAAAGAAGCTAGTTCAGACATTATCCTTACTTTGACCATCTAGGTTTGAATGGTCCTCAATTTTTGTGGAATTTCACTAATTTTAGTTGATATTCTGTTTACTACTACATTTTTTCGCTATTATATTATGCTATTATATTTTTATGCTAATATAATAATTTAAGAATCTTTAATGAACTGTGGTAATCCCATTGTGATCTCACTTTACAAATCAATATTAATTTTAAAAAAACACCAATATTGTTGTTGGCTACTAATCTAGAATATTTATATATAATTGTAGAGCAAGAAGAGGAAATTATCGAAAAGGATATTCTTTGCTCAACTATTTTGTGTTTTATAGATGTCTGAATGAATATTTTCGATATACCAAACTGATTATTTGTTAACCCTCTTGATTGAGCAAGACATACCGTTATTTTTTATGAAATTTGATTTGTCTTTATTACTGGTTTATCATTATTATTCCCCTAATTCCTAAGTGGATTATAGGACTTCCCCAGCACTATCCGATTTCGTGTTGTTCTTCTTAGTTCTCTTTACCTGGCTTTACGACTGCCAATTAGGTCTCATCTCTTTATCAAATGATTTTCTTTGTATCGACCTCACGATGACGACCCATTCGTCGCTTCTCACTGGGATTTCATTCAACAGTCTAAAGGACCTTTCTGACCTCTTTAGGTAAAATAATTTAACCAACAAAATACCTTGCTACAACTATGAAGTCAGTTACACAGGTCAGGTCAATCGATCCCATGGGGGAATATAAAAATTTTGCTAAGTATAGCGTGATTAGCTCCAGAAGAAAACTCAATACCTGTGATACATGCACTAACACATAATTACACAATAGAGTGAAACAGACCTACCGTTTTAAAATGTAATATTGGTAAGCAGAGTGGATGTTTCACCCCTGAATCTTTATTCATCATATCTAAAGCAATTCGGTTGACCTACTAATTGATTTTTATTAATTAAAGCTTGGAATGATGGCTTAATAAGAAAGTTCATTCTAGTGTAAAAAGAATGTCTGTTGTGCATGAACTTATAATAATCTAATTATAAATAACGAATTAATCAATTTTTTAAAATATTCTTCATTAATTTGTGATAAAAATAAATCTAGAACATTTGACTTGTCTTTTTCTGGTGTAGTTGTTATCAGTGGTACTCACAACATGTGTTTCGTTCTATTCGGTACGCATAAGCCGAATGTTTAGATTTGCAAAGAAAATACAGCGTGTGTCACGGATTTCACTGTCAGTTACGGGAGAAAACGTAACGCAGGGCTACTAATCTTAGAAATACTATTGCATTCTTTGAGAGACTTATATGCCAAAATGAGACTGACTAATTCAGCGCATATATATATATATATTCAATTATCGAGGCTATTTGTGAGTTCAGCACCCAAGAAAGTCAAGTATTTAACCCACTACTGAAGGAGCTTCGTTGGCCGTCTTAAATGATTGTTAATTTCTAAGAAAATCTGTACCTGGACTTATTAAATAAGTAGGTTGAAACATTCTGGCCCTATCCAACCTCTTCTCATACATTTATCCCCCAAAGTGAATTTGAATGGAGCCAGAACTGCACTTTTGCAGAATAAAATGGTACCATCATTGTTTATTTCATTGGCTTTTCATCAGCTCATTTGATTATAGGCCAAAGTCATTATTAAGTAGATCTACAGAAACAACTTTAACATACGCAGAGTTCGTTTTTAAACAAAAATTAGTCAGTCAGTTTATGCATACAATGTTAATAATAATTAACATTTTATCCTAAAAAATAATAATCATACACAGTGGAAACTTTCGACATTACGTAATCTGATGAAAAAGAAGTGAAAATATCCCAGTTACCAGGGTGAACAAGGGAAGACTGATAACTGTCTCTTTTTTCTGAACACACCTATAAATCAGGTTTCAGGAGCTTGATCATAATTTTGAAAGATCTTGCGACGTCCAGCTCATGACTCGTGTCAAGGCGATGCCTGGCGATGGCACTGTTTAAAACATTTGTTTCCGAAAGACTTAGACTTTTTCGGACTTATTCAGAAAATTATTTCTGTTCTTCCAATGTAACTGCTCCCACAGATACATGTAAATTTTTACACACTGTTGGAGTTAACATGAGAGGGATATCTGTCGACTTTGATTACACCAAATAGCAAGTTGTTAGATAGATTGGAACCAGCTTAACTGTATAATAGTCTAGTGACGTCTTAAGTCTCCTATCGATAATTGCTGCAATGTTTTCACCTTTGTAATCAGGTTGAATATAGACGAGCTTTTCTCTACTGCGATTTGCCTGACATTTGAAACTTCGTATTTTCCGTACTTGTTAATGAACCGGCGAAGTTAAACTTTCGACACCACTAACTACCAATCAGCGAATTATCCAATGAGGTTCACGAAGGCAGTTCAATGTTGTATAGCGCTTGATTCATTTTAATGCGTGACCTTACAAGGCTATTGTTGCAATTCGAGTAGGTTAGTGTTTTCCAGTATTTCCTAGATTTGAGTTGCTCCGGAAAGAACGAATTTGATTGTCTGGTGGTATCATGACTTTAAAAAGCTATACCAAATCAACTGATGGGTTTGTTCATCGTTGTGCTATATGTTTGAAGCCTACTAACACTAGAGAGGGTATGCTGATAATTTTATTATTTCGTAGGAACTTTTTTCGCTAGGTCGCTTCTCTCCCTAAGGATAGCAGATAGAAAAGCAACTACTCTTATACCTATTGTTACTGGAATTGTTAAGCGGGGGTCAATTATACACACGGAAAGGCTACAGTTCGCTGTCATCTCTGGGATATATTCATCATAGAGACAACCATTCAAGTGATTTTGTGGATCCCGTTACGAGGACACATACAAATTCTAATGAAAGATTTTGGGGCAGGTTGGAAAATAGGATAAGGGCTATAAATGGATCTCAAAAGGATCTCATTTATGGTCATTTGGATGAATATATGTACAGGATATGGTGTGACTTCTCCATTGAAAGTCCGATGCTTAACTGGGAGATTTTTCTCTCACATGTTTGAGAAAGATATCCCATGTAACCTTTTTTATTATCTATTTTATGCTTTTTTTCTATAAATATACATTTCCATTCATCATATATGCCTCTTTAATGCGATTGGTCCTTTCGAGGTCGTTTGCTGATTGGTTGTTAGTGGTGTCGAAAGTTTAACTTTGCCAATGAACCTTTCAGGGTAACCGTTGTTAAAATCGTTTCTGTAAATATACCTAATAATGACTTTGGCCTGTAAGCAGCTGAGCTGATGAGAAGCCGACGAAATAAACAATGATGGTACCATTTTATTCTGCAAAAACCACTGATGTTCTCTCTTCAAATGCATGAATGAGAATAAATGTATAAAGTTATCTTGTCTGATACCGAAAATTCTCTTCATTATTCCCAAATTTTGTCTTGATTATTTGCGGGTAAAACCAGAAAATAAATTTCTTTGGAATTTATACTCGTGTTTTAAGAGTTAATTCATAGGAATTT